GTGGAGAAAAATAACATTCGCAGAGGCCTATTGTTTTATTTGTTCAATTTGCTCTTCTTGTCAATCCTGTGAAATAGTATCCTCATGTAGGAGGTGAGTAAGCTGAGGTCCAGTGAGTTCATATAACTAGAAATTGAGAGAAGTGACATTTGAAACAAGTTTTGGCTAACTCCAAAGCCTAGGTTGGTTTTCTGAGGCCATCAGTGCTGCCTCCAAAATTTAATCACTGAACTAGGAATTGTTAGAACTAGAAGGTGATTGCGGAATTTGCTTAGCTCCTTCCAATGAGGGATATTAGCAGCAATGAGCTTGGCAGTCACTGAATGCCAAAGAAAGGTCTGACACTCAGGCCTCCTGACTCCTACGTGCTTTTTCTTTTGCCTTTGAAAATACATGATAAAATCTTTCTTAAATATTATGTTTATCTGCTTTAAAAATCAAATCGTACTGAAAGCTCTATAACCAAAACATCAGCTGTCCCCACTCCCTATTTTTGTTGAAATAATATTTCATCTCCTAATATTTCTGTTGGAATCTTTCATCCCTTCTTATCCTCCCTCCCATGCTTTTTGTCCTCTCTTAACCTTGTGGTTGTACTAGAATGGCTGGAGGAGAGAAAAGAGATGAAATACACTTGGTCAATCAGTTTTATTGGACAGTAGTCCAATTTCTTACCACATTGTTCTCCATAAGACTCTGTATCCCCAGATAACTCATTTTTCTGAAGTTAACACATGTCCAGTGCTCACGTAGCTTACCCTGAGACTGACCTGTTCTAGGAGCTACTGGGTCACAAGAATGCCTGTCTGGCCTGTGCCTAGTTGCCCTCAAGGACTTGACCGAGGCCAGAGAATGATTTACATGAGAGAACAAAGAGCAGATAACCGCGGTGATGATCCCTCTCATCCACACTTGATCAATTGCAGAAAGCCTTCATATCCACAATCTCATTGGACACAACATATAATCACAGGATGTGTTGTTTGGTGTTGACCACGGAGTCGAAATCGGGACACTGCTCTGTCCTGACAGGGCAGCATATTTGAAATCAGGACTGTGAATCTTCACACTCAAGGTGGTTTCTTATTTGGCCCTTTTGTCTGCAGGGCCAACAGGAGGTTTTTTTTTTTTTTTTTTTTTTTTTTTTTGCCAGGGCAGGTGGAAGTGGACTCTCAGATTTGCACTGAAGGGGAGGGAGAATGATGGGAGGACCCCAGGGAGACAGCTTCCTTCCAAGTGATTTCCTGGGCATTATTTCCCCCACCACACACACTCCTCCTCCCCGTAGACCCAAGTTTGGGATAAAGAAAGCTGCTTCTTTGAGAACACTTATAAAAAGAGAATCAGAAACTAATAATTCTGAACGCGTTAGAGGGGAGTTCACCTAAAATCCCAAACTGAAGTCAGTTTCATTGCCTGGGCTGGAAAGTGAGAATCATTTATCAATTTATTTCTGCTGTAGCTTCCACTGTAGAAATCTCAAAGAGCCTTGGATTAGGATCACACTCCGGGTTGCTTCTGTAGAGGGTAAGGGGACAGAGGCAGGGTAACAACTCAGGCTGCAGTTTAGGTGGTGTGTTAGGCTCATCTGTAGCCCCAGTACCTCGAAACACTTGCGTGGAACCAGATCTAAGACAGGGTAGGATTTGGGGTAGGCGTGATGGGCTCCCAAATGCCTTCTAGAAGGCTGGATGGGGTCTGAGTTCCTCCAAGAGAGCGCAGAATTGAATCTTTCAGCTTGATGTCTTCACCTCCCTCTTCAACAGCCCCACTGACAAGTAGCCCAGTCTAGTGCTATTACTGACACCAAGGACACGAAGTTCTCCACTGTACTGAACCTGTGGGAGCAGTCCCAGTTCCTATGCCCTCTGCTCACCAAGATGAGTGGGATTTGGGTCATATTACTTTATTGTCATATGTTTGATATTGTAGTGGTTAAAGCCTCTGGGTTGTGAAAGAGACCCATCCTCACCAAGAAAGAGCTGCCTGGGAGCAGGAGCAGGAAAGAGGAATTCCCAGATTCAGTGCCCCTGTGCTGAAACCTACATCACACTGCCTGAAACTCAGACTCACGAGTGAGTCAGCAATGCCTTCCCTGAATGGGGATGGAAGGCAAAACAATGAGAACATCACAGGCCCAAGTCACATTGGGGAATCTCTGAATCTTAAGAGCACTCTTTTGAGAACATAGAACTGATTCCGCCGGAGCCTTTGGAGGGGATTCACAAGGTGTTCTTATTCCCCAGACCAAGCAGATGAGGCGTATCTCAAGCATAGAAGACTTCAGGGTGGCCCATTTCCAGGTCTCATCATTTGAGGAGCCCAGAAGCTCTTTCTGATCTCTGTCCTAATTCCTCCTGCTTCAACCCCTTTCACTGATTCTTCAGTAGAGTGACTGCAGAGTTGGGACTATATTTTGTTTACCATAGTAGCAACAGTGCCTAGAAACATGGGTGATTTAAAAAAAATAATAACAACCAATACAGCACCAGTGAGAATAGACTCTGGTTGGGATGCTGAGCAGGGTCCAAGTGGAAAGGATCCTGGGTTTGGAAGTTCTAGGCTTGGCCTTGTGCCTAATTTGCTAGCTGACCTAGAGCAAATCACTTGATCTCCTTGGAACTCAGATTTCTCATCTATGAAAGGGGGGGTTTTGGATTAGAGGTTGCAAACTCATATGCCTACAGATCAGGCAATTACAATAAATGAGTGAATCCAACAGGGTGAGATAAAGCCCAATAAAGTCCTGGCTTTAACATGTGGATTCCATCTAAATGAGCCTCTGTTGTCAGACGCAACTGCTGAGCCAGGCTGTCCAGAGCATTTGACTCTTCAAGAGATGCTGAAAATATGCATGTTTATGTGAAATCTCCTGGTGTTTAAAATACTGTGTGGGTCAAGCAAACATCTCTAAGCCAGTTTTACCCTCAGACTAGAGGACTAGAAGGGTCCTCCCAGCTTGAATTTTCTGATTCTAACATGTCTTCTAAAGAAAATCTTAAAGAAATCACGGTAGTTATGGGGATTTCTGCCAATGCACAAGTGAATGCCTGTGTGTGGGCTCATGCTTGTATGACATAGGGCTTTTGGCTCCCTTGAAATGATGCTTTCCTGGTGGTCTTCCCCCCACCCCTCACACACACCTGCAGTGGACTGTTTGCTTGGTCTCAAGAGCCAAGCCCTGGGCCAAATGGGAGACGCTGCTTGAACTCATCAGCAGTAAAGAGCGGGCCGCATTGATGAGATAGTCCTTCCCCTCATGAAGGGAAGAGCGATCACCAGCTAGAAGCTGGCTAAATCAGGCTTGGGGACCTGCTATCTTCCCAGGCTCTGCTGGTTCTGTCCCTAACTGAACTGGCACTAAGAATCAAGTTCACATGATTCCAATCTGGAGTTCTCCAACACACCTGCACTTTCACCTGGGCTGGTGAAACTACCACGATCTGGGTAGCTTAAGCAGCAGAAATGTCTTGTCTCACAGTTCTGTAGGCTGGAAGTCCAAAATCAAGGTGTCACTAAGGTTGGATCCTTCTGAGGGCTCTGAAGGAAGGGTCTGTTCCAGGCCTCTCTCCCTGGCTTGTAGATGGTCATCTTCTCCCTGCGTTTCTTCACATCATCTTCCCTCTGTGTCTGTCTGCCTCTGTGTCCAAATTTCCCTTTTTCAATAAGGACACCAGTCATCATTGATTAAAGCCCACCCTAATGACCTCATTTTAACTGAATCACCTCTGTAAAGACTCAATGTCCAAGGAGGGTCACATTCTGAGGCATTGGGGGCTGTGGGATTTCAACATCTGAACTGAGAGAGGACACAACTCAACCATAACACCACTCTTTCATGGTCTCTCTGTCTTTGCTCTCAACCCCCAAACCTCAGTACCCTGCCCTGCCTATGCCCCTTCCTACCTGTGACAGCTCAGTGCTTCAGGGTCTCATGTGCTGGGACACAGCTCACTGTGAGCATGTACTCTACAAGGACTGGGGTTCACTGTAGTGGGGAAAGGAGAGGGAACTCTCATCAAACAGGAGACATACAGGCCTTGAATTTCAGGTAATAACAGGAAATGTCACCTTATTCTGTGAGGCACTGTCTACATGCTTTTTCTAGCCTTATACAAAAATTTCAAGCATTTATATATCCGTCAGTAAGTGCCAAAATACTGCTCCAAATACTTTGTATGAGGCAAATTACTGAACTCCAACAACACCCCTTTGTGGTGGGTACTTTGAGGGGGGTACTATTATTTACCTCATTGCACAGATAGGACCCTGAGGCCCAGAGAGTTTTGAAACTTTCCCAAGTCTGTATGTAGTAACTGAGGGAGCTGGGGTTTGGATCCCAACAGTTAGCTCCAGAGGCCATGCTTCTAATCATTACCGGATAACGATTGGAAAAGGTAGGAAATATTATTCTCATTGAATAGGAGAAAAGTGAGACCAAGAAGCCAAGTAACTCACACTTGGGTAAGAAGCAGAATAAAGGTGGAATTCCTGCCCTGGAAGCCATAGGGCTCCCCCCCTCCCCCGCATCCCCCCCAAAGGGGACCAGGTGTCCTGAGTCCCTGTTCTAGAATCCACTCACTTACTTACAGGCCCACAGGTAGTAGTAGCAGGGCCAGCCCTACTCTAAACCCTGATTTGTAGGTTAACTGTCTCCACACTGCAGGGTGACTATGGGGCATGAGGAAAGGGGAGGCACCCTTTGGGCTTCGGATCTGACCTCCCAGTCGCTTCCAGGGTCCAAGACCACCAGCCCGGAGGCACAACGAGGTCCAGACCGAGTCGGGGAATTCTCTTGGCCGGGGGTTAAGAGCCCCAGAGCGGGGTGGGGAGGGCCCAGCACCCCCAGCACCCCCCAGCACCGCCCAGGAACGCGGGGCACCCCATTTCCCGCGACCCGCCAATCCTCGCCGCGAGGGGGCGGGGCCGCACCTGGGGGGCGGGGCCGGGCGGCGGAGGGGGCGGCGGCGTCCCAGGGCGAGGCGCTGACGTGCGCTCGGCGCACCTGGGCCGGGCAGGTAAGCGCCGGGGCGGGCCGGGGAGCGGCGCTCGGAGTCGCGGGCTGCGCGGGGCCGGCTGTTGCTTCCCCGGCAGCTCGAGGACAGCGGTGGCGCCGTGATCGTAGCTGGGGACGGGGTTCCGAGGTAGCCGGATCGAGGAGAGGTGAGGACGCTAACTTCTGAACTCTAGCTTCGGAAGTGGGGGTGGGGGGGGTGGGGGCGGTTGGGGACACACCCGCCCGCCGAGTTTGGGGTTAGGAACCTTGCTTTGGCGACAGCCTGTTTGGGGAGAACCCCTGGGGTGGGGTGGCTGTCGCCTGGCTTTAGGGAGCTCTGGGGCGGTGCTGGCCCCGAAGTGGCCGCCCCCCCCACCCCCCGACCCCACACTTCGCTGTCTACCCCCTTTCCCTCCCTGCCCTCCCGGAGTGCGCTGCTCTCCGCCCCTACCCCTGCCCCTACGCTGGGACGGAGCTGCGGCGCCTCCCCTCCTCCGGTCTTGCTGGGCCGCTGGCCCCGGTGTCCCAAAGAGGGAATTTCCCAGGCCTGCAGGCCCTTAGTCCTGGTGGGTGTTGGAGAAATGGGGGGTAGGGGCGGCCAGGAGCTTTAGCCAGTTTTGTTTAGTTTAGTTTTTTTTTTTTTTTTTTTCTCCCCTTGAGTTTGTTTAGTGCAATCAGGCTCCTGCCTTGGGCCTGGGAGACACCCTTGGATTTCCAAGTAGCCAAGCTTGGCGCTGGGGAGGGTGGCGCTGGGTGTGGTCAGGGGGTGAGGCCCTCTTCGCCTGAAGGGGATGGAGGGTGGGTGTGGAAAAATGGGGAAAGTCTCCTAGGCTCGACTGGAAAGGAGGCCCCGGGTGCCACTCTTTACAGGGAGCCTGCTTTGCAGTAAGGAGGTCATCTCTGTCCCAACCTTGCTTTCCTGGGGGATGTCAAAAACGGAAGCCCGGAGAAGGGAGAGGGAGGGAGAAGGTGCTTGTGTAGGAGTTGGTGAAGGCTGGTGCTGACCCTGGAGACTAGATTAGTTTGAGGTGTGTGCGTAATGCATGACAGCAGCACCCAATACCTTGTGGCTCCCTCTCACCAGCCCCCAACTTCAATCCAGCAGGGAGGAAGGGCATGGGAATTATGGCTAGAGACCTGGAATTCACCTCCAAGCAGGGCTAAACTAAATGGAGGAAAGGTGGGGGGACTTGGAAGATGGTCTTCAGTTCCCTCAGTGGAGAGGGAAAAGCAGGACTACCTGGCAAGGGCGTTTTACTCTGAGCCGAACCATTAGCAGCCCAATCTCGAATCTCGACTTTGAGGTAGTGGTGCCCCTGGAAAGGAGTCTGGGCAGGGGCCGCAGAGGTGGCAGTGGAGGTTTTTATAAAGGCCCTGCTCCCTGGAGTGGGTGTGAGAGAGAACAGCTAGTGCCTTGGGGAGGTTGAAAGTATCCATGCTCAAGGCCCGGTGTGAGGGGAGTGGATGGGTTAGCATCTTTGCTCTTTGGCTGGGTAAGTACCTGTTGGAGACACAGGCCTTGAATTTCACTGTGATGGCCGCTAGAGATATCAGGGCCGAGTTCAGCTAGCCTAGTTCTGTGGGCATTGAGATTTGGGTGGTGAGCGTGTTTAGAAAGAGAACTCTGATTTAGGTGTGTTTGGGGGTGGGTGTCTTGCAGCCTCCTCCCTAGCCACTTGGCTCTTCATGCCGCTGGCATCTTGTTAATATTTTGGTTTACTCTCTTAGTGTGTAGAAGGAGGGACTTGGAAGGCAGGCTATGGTGGCAGGATTCAGTACAGCACACTCTGACTCAGGAGTGTTGGATCCAGGCCCCAGATGAAGCACTTTTCTGTGTCTTAATTAACCAGCTATAAAAATAGGGATGATAAGAGTACTACTTCCAGATTATGAGGATGAAATCAAACACGTTAAATAAAAGTGCATATAAAAACTGTAAAGTTGGGACGCCTGGGTGGCTCAGCGGTTGGGCGTCTGCCTTTGGCCCAGGGCATGCTCCTGGGGTCCAGGATCAAGTCCCACATCAGGCTCCCTGCACGGAGCCTGTTTCTCCCTCTGCCTGTGTCTCTGCCTCTCTTGCTGTGTCTCTTATGAATAAATAAATAAAAATCTTAAAAAAAAAAAACCCTGTAAAGTCCATGTAGTTATGAAGGATTGTTGGTATCAAGGTCTTAGCAGCTGAGGGGCATCATCTTTTAAACCTATCTATATCTATACATATCTTTTCTATGGCCGAGAAATGTCTTAGCTTCCTGTAGTTAAAAAAAAATACTACTTGTAGGGGCGACTGGGTGACTCAGTTGGTTTAGCATCTACCTTCGTTTGGCTCAGGTCAGGATCGAGCCCCTTGTTTATTGGTGCTCACTGCTTTGCTCCCTGCTCAGAGGGGAGTCTACTTCTCCTTCACCCTCTGCCCCTCTTCCTGCTTGTTCTCACTTTTTCTCAAATAAATAAAATTTTTAAAAAGAAATACAACTTGTATTTTTTCATTTTATTGTAAATTTAAACATCATTGTAGGAAAATGTGGATTATATACGAAAGTATGTATAGACAAGTATAAAATTCAGCCATAATCCTATCACAAGTAACCATTATGAATGTCTTATTACTTTGGTATATTATTTCTTTTCCTTTTTTTAACCGTATGTGTGTATGTGCCATATGTACACAAGTGCATGTTACCTTACAAGATGCAGATACTACTATACAGTCAATATTGTATGCTGTATTTTCTCCCTTAACCTCATGTTGTAAACATTTCCCCAAACCCAATAAAAATTCTTCAGACACCCCGTTAATGGCTCTTTAGTAATGCAGCCTGTGAGTATGTAATTAAGCCATCTTCCTCTGTTATTTTGGTTGCTTCCAACTATTCCCTCTCTGCCGGTTTTTAGAGTCCTCGTGGTGGCAAGTGGGGGAGATCTTGGCGACTTTGAGAAGGTGGAGAGGGTTAGCAGCGATGGAGGTAGGGCTTGGAGCAAGGCAGGCTGGGGCCAGGCTGCTCAGGTGTAGTGCCATCTTGAGAGAATGCTGAGAACCCAGGACTCTAGATCTTAACAATCAATCTCTCCGGGTGGCTGCTTCTCCTTCCCTAACACTATGTGCGGTTCCCTCTGTTGACCCAGTTGCTTTAATTTTTTCTTGATGAGCTGTCGATTAACGAGGATAAGCCCTTTTCTTCAAAGCCTGTGGTCCGTCAAGAAGTGGATTTCACATGTCTGACAAGCAGAGACATGGGACTTACCGGTGCTGCAATAGAAATTCTCAAAAGTCCCCCGTGAGGTTGACCAGTGTGCTACCTGGTGTCCTCTTCGTCCTTCCCCTGCTCTATCCCCTTTCCAGTAGGATAGGACTTAAAGGTAGAACTTGCCCTTGGGAGGATATGCATTTCTCTCCTCCTTATAAGGTAAATGTTTTCCTCGGTTTGACTGATGGCTTGACTTGCTGCCCTACAAAACAACCTAAATGAGGCCAAGAACATGGGGGTTGGGGGGACAGCTGAATACTGCATGCCAACCTTACCTGCCCACTGAGCTGGGCTCCCAGGGGGAAGGTTTCAGTTGCAAGCCTGGTTAATTGGGTCAGAAGGCTCAGGTGAGAGCAGGTCCTGCCTTGCTCTTAAAGTGCCAGAAGCCGAGTTGGGTTTGGGTTTTCCCTGTTTGTTGGGAGTCTGGCAGGGGAAGGAAGGAAGTGGTATTAGGAGCCACCCCCTCAGCTAAGCTCCTCTGAGTGGGAGCCTTCAGCTGACTCAACTGGTTTGGTTTCTGAACTGTGATCCAGGTGGGGATCTTCCTGGGTGGGAAGGTGACTTATTTACCTTCCTTTCCTCGGGCCACTGTGGGGCTCGAGCAGTTCCAGTGTGGATTTCTTCAGGGAGTCTGATGAAAACTGTGTGCTTTCTAAGCGACATTAGTGCTGGACACACAGTAGCCGAAGAACACGTTATTTGTTGAGTGAATGCGATTTTGCTGGCCTCACCTTAGGTAAAGCACAAAATGAGAACACCAAAAAAACCTAAACACAACATCCAAAGCAAATAGTTCTGTAGTGACCAGTTTTTCCTCAAGGCACCCTATCTGGGCAGGCCTTTGTCTGCTGCTGTGAGTGCTGGCTGTTGCCGAATGTTATCTGCTATGCCCGGGTATTTTTATGAGAATCAATTGCAGACTTTACCCAGGCCGGCTCCTGCAGCCAATGGGTTCACTTTAGCCTCGGTGGGGGAGATAAACAGACCCAGGTGGAGGAGGCTGAGCAGAGAGCAGAACTTGCCATGTGATTGTATTTAGCAGTCCAGGGTTAGGAGCTGTAGCATGTGATTATTCTAGGGCTCCTGAACTTTTCCAGACTCAGATGCAAGGAAGGGTCCTCGGAGCCTTTGTCCCCTGTGTTCCCAAGTCCTCTCCCAGCCACTGGATTGTCCTGTGGATAACCAACTCAGACACCCTTTTCTTGGCACAGAGTCTTTGGCTGGCCCAGAGAAAGGAAAGCTGACTTGAGGCCCCGCTCTCCGGATCCCCGTGGATACATTGCCTGTTCATCTCTGTAAGTGAGGACTTTGGAACCAGGACCCACCCCTTGCCTACTTCTCTCTCACCACGATTGTGTCATTTCTTACTAAAATATTCCCGTGTGCCTTTCGTTGTCTAAAAAGAGAGTACGCTTCAAATTCTTGCCCCTATCTTTGCTGTTTCCATAACATTTTTTTCTCCCTTCTCCTGAGATTGAAAAGAGCAATTTCACTTCTCTTCCAAAGTCTTTGGTTTTTCAGGAAGCCTGTGCTCCAGCGGGAATGACATCATCTTTTTTATTTTTCTGCTTCAGGATTTAAATAGAAGAAATGTGATCTACTTACATGATAAGTCTGATTTGGCTAGAACATGAAGTATAAATGGCTTTGGAATGAGAATCAAAAGAACCTTTTAACCTCTTTTCTTTTCTTCCCCACCTGGCACAGTTTATTCCCATATTTAGTTTCTTTGCTGTAATCTAATGAAACTGTAGCTCTATCATACGGGAACAGTGGCTGGGAAAAGTTCCCAGAGGCTGGCCTAATTCTCCTGCTCTCTCCCCACTCTTTATCCTCCCCCACCCAGATCATGGCCCTCCACCCCCGCAGAGTTCGGCTGAAGCCCTGGCTGGTGGCCCAGGTGGATAGTGGCCTGTACCCTGGGCTCATCTGGCTACACAGGGACTCCAAACGCTTCCAGATTCCCTGGAAACATGCCACCCGGCATAGCCCCCAACAAGAGGAAGAAAATACCATTTTCAAGGTAAAGCACTTCTTCCACCAATCTGACTACGCAATGCTTTCCAGTTCTGTCAGAACTTTCTGGGATTTTTTTTGTTGTTCTGTTTTCTATTTTGGCACAAGGAATACACTACATCCAAAATGCTGATGCATCAGAATGTTTATGAAGGGGGTGCCCAAACTTAGGCATAGTAATTTCTCTTGCTGGGGCATGTCTGTAATGTTTGAGGCTGTTTATTCTTTCGTATTGGTTGAAGGTACTCAACTCACATCCCAAAAGATCCAGGTGCAGTTGACTAAACTGGAAGTGATTGTATTGATGTGGTTGTTCTAAAAGTTCCCAGGGGTCAGCAGATGACTCTCACTCTTCATTCACTCAGGGCGCTTGCTATGAAGAGAGGTGCTTGGGCCTGGGAATGACTCTCCAGACCAGGACAGAACTACTGAGTGTTAGCAGGCTCCTAACATAACCTGTAGATTGGGTGTAGAGGGCCCTCTGAATGTTTTTCTTTTGATATTAAAGTACCTTGCTCCATCCATGACTTCTGCTTATAAATTAAACGTGATTTAGTACTAGTTTTTATTCTACAAGTATGTTTTCTTATATAAAAAATAGCTCTGATGTGAGAATTGTTTTGTTTAGCTGAAAACAAGATTGAATCATGGCATTTTACAAAATTTAGTGAAGCTAAAGCTTGGCCTAAGAAGTAGGTGAGAAGCTGGTTATGGGGAAAGGTATTATGTGGTTTGTAACTCAGGACCCTGTGTCTCTGCTTCAGACCAACCTCTTGGTGCTGGTCAGTCTTCCATCTTATGAGTTGCTTTAGTTTCTGCATCCCCAAGACATGAGGTAGTAAATTTAGTCTTTTCTTCCCCCTAAAAGCTGGAAGCTAGAAGTGAAATCCAGTCCCTACCCAGATTGATGCCCCAGGTTTCTTCATTTAGGAAGAAAGTAAATGAGTGCTTTTAATTTTAAAACAATTATATGAAAATGATAAGGAAAACATCTGTAAGCCAGACTCAATTACTGAAGTTGGCATCAAGAGGGGCATGGGCCTGCCCTGGCTCAGCTGGCCTCTGGTTGTGGCCTTGGTCTGAAAATGGATTTGTTGTTGGTGGTTGAGGATGGCTGGCCATGGGGGAAGAGGCTGGTTCCTGAAAGCCCCGCTCACGAGAGTGATCTGTGTGCTTAGGGCTTGAGAAAAAGGTGACTGCAGGAAACTTGTTTTATTTATATCCGTATCTCTGTTTGTGGAATGCTAAGGGAGGGCCTTGGAAATCAGGAGAAGAGTGAGGGTGCTTTCACAGATCCCAAGCTCTGACAGACCTTGGGCAGGATATCTGGGGGCGGGAGGGGAGCAGGGGGACACTAGTATTAAATGCTAGTGCCTGCATTTAAGTGCCTGCTCTGTATCCCGTGTCCATGATCTAATTATCAGCAACTCGGTAAGGGAGGTATTACTCTCATGTTGTAGATGCAGAGGCTGAGCCTCTGAGGAGCTAAATAACTTGCCAAAATCACACAGCCAGTAAGGGGTGTGGTCAGGATTTGAACCCAAGCCTATCTGCTACCCCATTCTGACTGGGAGTTGGAGGACCTGGTTTCAAATCCTACTACTATCAGTTGCATATATGGTCTTGAGCAAGTCACATAATCTCTTTGGGCTTTAGCTTCCCCTTCAGTAAAATGGGGATGAAACCAGTCTTACCTGCCTCACAGGATTGTTGTGAGAATTGAGTGAAATAATGTTTGGGGAGGGACTAGTGAATTACCACTTCTGGAAGAGGAGTAGGGACGTGCACAGTGACCTGAGAGTCAGAAGCAAGACTCAGAATGGGTTTAAATAAGTCATGTTTATAAATCACACTGATTGCCATGTGGTGGCTACCTCCCCCTGCTGTATCAGCCTTGGGCCCTCTGCACCATCTTGAGTGGGCCCTGAGGGGGAATGACTGTGTTGCGAGCAAGAAGCCGGGGTTTGTGGTTCTGGGTTAGTCTGGCTGTTCTCCATGGAGGGACAGGGGTTTAGGGAGCCACAGAAATATGTAGACCTGTGCCAAAGTCAGCATAGCCCAAGCCAGCTGGGTGGGGCCAGAGTGGGAGTGGGCACAGGGGATCAGATAAACGGAAGGGAAATGTGGTGAGGTAGCAGTCAGGTACCACCAGGTGCAACTGGAGATGTGCTTCTCAGATACTGCAGACCAGTGAAGATGCAATCCCTTGTAGGGAGCTGGATGGAACGGTGGCTGCACAGCCACATCAGGCAGCACCACTTTGTCAGACCTCTTCGTTCTCTACTGCAAAACAAATGCAGCTGCCCCCGTCTTGAGGCGATGGTAAGAAGTGAGCCTGAATCAGAAGAGAAGGATTTAAATTTGTATTGGCAGAAACTTCCTCATGATCCGTCAGGCTCTGGGGGATAGGGACTGAGGGAGATCAGCGAGCTCAACAGATGGGGCAGAAATTTTCCATTTCAGCTTGAGGTCAGAAGCAGAGGCAGGGGGTTGGGACTGGACAACGTGCTCTGTTCGCTTGAACAAGTTGGGGTGTGTTTCCTGGTTTTGAGTACTCTGCTAATGACATCTCCCTTTTCTGAATCAGAACATAATGTCCTGAAGAAAGCATAGAGATCTGAGAATATGTTAGCAGTGGGGGGGGGGGGGGGGGAGTGGATATCCTGGGAGCAGAAACCTCCATGCCTTTAGACCTGGAAACTGAAACCAGAGAGGAGGAGCCAGAGTGGCTTTAGCTCATGCCACCGGGCCCTGGTGTTTGCAGCAAAGTATTTCCAGTGAAGTGGGACTTTGAGGAACTAGGGAAGGGAAGGAGGTGTGGTTTGACTTGGACATGGGACTAGCTGAATGAGGCCCTCCGCCTTTAGCTGAACTCCCAGGGTATGCTTCCTGCCCTCCTACAGGCTATTATTTTTCTACACTTGTTTTCTACAATTACTTATCCATCAGATTGAAGAATGTAGAGGGAGGGAACAGCAAGGCCAAACTCTTCATATCACATGCCATCTCCCCTTGTCTTATTATATAAGTAATTAATGTCAAATATGCCCCCACCCTCCAATTACCTGAAATCCTGCTATCCAAGGTTACCATTAGCATTTTAGTGTATACAGTGGATGCTTGAACAGCATGGGTTGGAACTGTGCGGGTCCACTTATTTATTTTTAAGTTTATTTGTTTAAGTAATCTCTACACCCATCGTGGGGCCTGAACTTGCAACCTGGAGCTCAAGAGCTGCAGGCTTCTGACTGAGCCAGCCAGGTGCCCCTGCACTGGTCTACTTCTGTGATTTTTTTTTTTTAATAAATATAGTACTGTAAATTATGTTTTCTCTTATGATTCTCTTAATAGTATTTTCTTTTCTCTAGTTTACTTTATTGTAAGAAGATAGTATATAATATACAAAATACATGTTAAACTACTGTTACCAGTAAGATAGTTAAGTTTTAGAAAGTCAAAAATTATATATATGGATTTTTGATAGTGCAGGGGTTGGTATTCTGACCTCTGTATTGTTCAAGGGTGAACTGTATTTTTTCCAGACTTTTCTTTATTTTCAACCCTTATTATAGCCACTCTTGACAGGTGGTGCTGCACTGACAGTTGAGATAAGGCTCCTCCTTTCAAAAGATTGTGTTTGCATATGGCTTAATTTCCCTCAGGCCCTGCCTGGCCTGGTCCTGAGGGTGGTGTTTCTTCCTACAGGCTCTGTAAGTTGGGTTCAGATGGCGGGGCAGTCAGGCAGGGGTCTACATTGCATGTGTGTCTGTCTGTGAGAGGGTGAGCACATATGGTAGTGTTTCTGGGCAACAACAGGCATTCACTGCAGTTTCCTGTTCCTCAGGCGTGGGCTGTGGAGACAGGGAAGTACCAGGAAGGGGTGGATGATCCTGACCCAGCTAAATGGAAGGCCCAGCTTCGCTGTGCTCTCAACAAGAGCAGGGAATTCAACCTGATGTACGATGGCACCAAGGAAGTACCCATGAACCCAGTGAAGATATATCAAGTGTGTGACATCCCCCAGCCTCAGGGGTCGATCATTAACCCAGGTGAGGCCCCAACTGCTGGGGGGACAGGTGGACAGTAAGCCCTGTTTTGGGTTGGACTCTTAAAGAGAGAATTGACTTGAAAATTGCTTACAAAGTTTAAGATTGGTAAAAGCAAGAAACTCTTCTCCTAAGAAGGACCCAGAGAACAAAAGATGTAAAGTCAGCAAAGTCTCGTTCACTTAAGGGAATAGTTACTAGCCTGACTGCTTAAAGCATGAGAAAGTAGAGGGAGTATAGAGTCCTACTGCAGGAATAGCTTCCTGTGGGACCCTAGCTTCCTGTGGGACACAACACTGAGAGGAGAGGCCAAGTAGTTTTAAAGATGGAGGAATTAAAACTTAGAAGGTTTGAGTTCTGAACCTTGCTCTTATCACTTTGGTCCTTGTGGGACATTGAAGCAAGTCATTTGAACTTTAAGCCTCAGTTTCTTCAATGGCAAAATCTGGGCTCTCATCTTTCCTGCCTACTTGAAAGACTATTGTAAGACTCAATTGACATGACATTTAAAAGCTATTAAGTTCTCTGAAAATGTTGGGTGAGTGATTATTTGTAGGATACTTTCTCTAAGAGAATACAACCTGATCCTATTTACCCAACGCTTAGCAAATACCAAGAGCTAGATAATTAAGACTTGTTCTCCAATGAATCTAGTGAGGCCCTGCCAAGAGGGAAGGGTCCGTCCTCACATTACACTTACAAAGTGGAGAAGTTGGCATCCTTGAGTCCTTAAAAGGGATGCTTAACATGTAGCAAGAGGTTTACAGTAGGAATTAAGAGATTTCTAGGGAAAGGGATAGGGTCTGCAACTCCTACATAGAGACATTAGAGCTCAGTAGGAGGAGTTAGAGCCAGAGGTTAATACACCTTTGGTGCCCACTCCTTTTGGCTAGGGCATTGAGGGTACACACTGAACCCCAGGGAGTGTCTGTACTAATGGTACCTAGCATGTACAATGGATCAGCTGCAAGGATGACCGTGCAACCCCAGGGGCTCACCTGTGGGCTTATGTGTCTGTTTCTTGGTTAGGATCCACTGGATCTGCTCCTTGGGATGAGAAGGATAATGATGTAGATGAAGATGATGAGGAAGATGAGCTCGATCAGTCACAACACCATGTTCCCATCCAGGACACCTTCCCCTTCCTGAACATCAATGGTGAGTGAGAGATGGTAGGTGGTACAGAAGAATGAAGGCTTTGACTTTGTACTGCTGACCTCTCAGGCCCCACTGCATGGGGAGCAGTGACCATGCCCTATGGTCAAGCTGCTGGTCTATTAGCAAGTAGAGGTCATAGACAAGGGAACTCTGCTGGTCCAATTATCCCAGTGGGCAACTTCCAGGCATAGAGAACATCTTCTGAATCTTACAGATAATTCAGAGAAATTAAACATTTAAATTAATTCTCAATCCCACATACAAATACATCAGTTGTCATAAATTTCACTGATTTCCTTGAGGCCAAGTGCAGATATAATTTTGATGGATAATAGGCAAACTCGTTCACTATTTCCCTTGTTATAAATTTCGTGTCACTTTCTTAGCAGGGTCTACTCTGCTAAGGCTATATCATGGGGGAACTTGTAGTTTCTACAGCTCTTAATACTAAGCTTTGATAGAATTTATCTGCAAGAGATGTTTTGCTGCTTTTATGGACTTTTTGAATTCAGTATCTCAGGAAAAATGAGTGGAGAGGTTGGAAGGTCACTGTGACAGAACAGGCACTGATTCTTCCATTGCACATTCTGAGGATGCTCAAACACAGGGTGAAGTGCTCTTCAGCATCTTCACTTGAACTGTCCACTGAAATGCTCCTAGTCTAATGCCATGCATTAGTTGAGAAGCTTGTCACTGCCTTTTTAGTTCCATCTGGCTGCTATGGGTCAAATGAGACACTTGTGCCACTTAGAAAATTTATCAAGATGATTCCTTTGGGATTTTGGAGTACCTACTCTAGATGATTCCCTTACCTTTGAGAATCAGGAAATGATTCTTATTACCTGTCCACTTGCCCTCCTTCACTTAACCTGCCATTTATGTCTTTACAACCAAGTGATGAGTAAAGAAAAATATCATTGAGCTCTTTCAGGTCAATATTGCCACATGCTATATTCCCACTTAGTGATTTTGAGTTGGATATCTGGAAATATGAGATTCATGTTCTCTCTCTTTCTCTCTCCCCTCCCTTCCCTTTGCCCCTCCCCCCTCATTTGTGCACTTGCTTTTTCTTTCTCTCTCTCTCAAATAATAAGTAAATCTTTAAAAATAAAAAATAAAAACAAAAAAGTAAACTAGGTACATAGATTTAAGCAGACTTCTGCACAAAGGGTCAAAGAAACATTAACTTCTATGATTTCAGAGCTGTTGGGGCAGAAGAATTGTTGAAGAATAGATGCCTAAGAAGTGAGGCTAGGAGGAGAAATCTGTAGACTTTGGAGTAAACCAACTTTGAGAATAGCAGGAAAATAGGATGGGTATTTCATTTTCTTTCTTAAAAGCTTTAATCAGATACTTTTGAATAAATATTGGTTTTACATGGTTTAAAATTCATAATGGTACAAAAAGGTAATAATTGCAAGGTTTTCCTTCCTTTCTGTCTCTGAACCCCGTTCAGTTTCCCTGGAGGAAACTGTGATCTTTTCAGATTTTTGGGTATCCTTCCAGATGTTTTGTGCATGTAAAAGTATTTGTTTTTAATGGAATTTCTATACTCTCAAAGCTAATCAGCTAATTCAATTAAGTTCATTTTATTTTATTTTATTTTTTTAAGATTTTACTTATTTATTTGAGAGAGAGAGAGAGAGAGAGAGAGAGGCAGAGACACAGGCAGAGACACAGGCAGAGGGAGAAGCAGGTTCCATGCAGGGAGCCCGACGTGGGACTCGATCCCAGGATTCCAGGATCATGCTCTGGGCCGAAGGCAGACGCTCAATTGCTGAGCCACCCAGGCGTCCCAATTAAGTTCATTTTAAAGAAGACAACCAATTTCTGTTTGATTGCTGGAGTCACAATCTGCAACAGGGAACCGTTCATTCATGTTCATTCTCATTTAACCCCAGAAAAAACTCACATGTCTGATAATCTTCAGCAAATGCAGGTTTTATGGGAGAACTAATATGATTAGGAAGTAGAAGCAGGGGAACTGTATTTCTTATTGTGTGTGTGTGTTAGTTGTGGGGATCACTGATGGGCTGCCATAGTGAGTCATAGTCCAGTGTTTGGCTCTTATCTATGGACTTTGTTGGGTTTTAGAGCCCCAATCCAGGTGATGTACATGCGTGGTGCCCCTGCCCGCTCACCCACATCCTTCTGTTCTAGGTTCTCCGATGGCACCAGCCAGTGTGGGTAACTGCAGCCCTGAAGCAGTGTGGCCCAAAACTGAACCTCTGGAAATAGATGTACCCCAGACACCTATACAGCCCTTTTATAGCTCTCCAGAGCTGTGGATCAGCTCTCTCCCAAGTAAGTGAGACTTAATCTTTCTAGCTAGGTCTTCGGCTCCTATTCTAGTCCCTTCCCTGCCCCACCTGCTTCTTCTATTTCTTTGCCATGTATAGAATAGCTACCTGTCCTATAGGCAGCCTCTGTGTCTGGTTCCTGGTTGACCAATGAATCATCAGGGAAGAAGTGAAGAAACATTAGTTCACGTCTGCTTGCCCAAGGTGATGCTGACTGGTTGTAGCTCTAGGTTACTCACCTCTTAGGTGGGTGTAAAGCCTAGGTTAATCAGTTTGGCTAGGGGATCTGGGCACAAGGCCAGTTGTGGGATAGGAAGATTAATGGCCATGGATTTGATCAAGAAAATTCTTGGATTTTGAGGGGATTTTGGAAGGGAGAAAAATCTTTCTAAATTGAACACAAATTGATCTCAATGAAGAATCAGTGTCACTGTCTCATCTCCCTTTCACACTATACATGGTGGTAGTGGGAATAGGATGGGGATGTGAGGGCTAGTATTTTGTCCAAGAGGCTAATAGCTTTGATCGTCTTACAGGGTTCAATTGAGACCTGATGGGTGAAAATTTACTTTGCCGTGAACTGTGTCCTTTTATGGTAAATTATTAGAACAGATCCGCAGTGTGTGCTGTGTGTGTAATTTTCATAAAAGACAAGATGGCTTGGTATTTTTCCTTATTCTTCTGGTTTCTTTAAAGATGAGACCCAAACCAGATACCTTAGTTTTTGGGTCCTTCTAATGTCTACTGATGTGAAGACTCGGTCAGTGTAAATGAGGGACTGGACCCAGAAGTTTGCTTGAAGAAATTCTAGCACTTAGGGTGTAATGATTAAACAGATAGTATACGTGGACCTTGAACTGTCTGCTTTTAAGGCAGTCTTTTGAGTGAGTATTCCAGGGATAGGCTGAGGTCTTCCTTTGTTGTAGGAAGAATAACTACGGTAGTGACCTTCCTGAATGCTAGCTGAAAAGTGGCTTGATCTTGATGGACTTGCATGAGTCTCAGGGATAGACAAGCAGAGCATTAGAGCAGGATTCTCACTGTCCTCTCTCAACTTGCAGTGACTGACCTGGACATCAAGTTTCAGTACCGTGGGAAGGAATACGGGCAAACCATGACTGTGAGCAACCCCCAGGGCTGCCGGCTCTTCTATGGCGACCTGGGTCCCATGCCTGACCAAGAAGAGCTCTTTGGTCCTGTCAGCCTGGAACAGGTCAAGTTCCCAGGGCCAGAGCATATCACCAATGAGAAGCAGAAGCTGTTCACCAGTAAGCTGCTAGATGTCATGGACAGAGGACTGATCCTGGAGGTCAGCGGTCATGCAATTTATGCCATCAGGCTGTGCCAGTGCAAGGTGTACTGGTCTGGGCCATGTGCCCCATCACTTGTTGCCCCCAACCTGATTGAGAGGCAAAAGAAGGTCAAACTATTTTGTCTGGAAACGTTCCTTAGTGGTAAGTCTTTTTTCAGAAGGTTGGTGTCTGGGAACTTCTCCCTAGAAGTAGGTTTTCCACCTTCCCTACCCACTTTCCTGGCTCTGCAAAGATCTTAATAAAAAAAAAAAAAAAACTCCTGGAGGAAGTGAAGGTAGAACAGAACCTTAGTTCTGAAAAATGAAAGTGGCCTGGGCAACAAAGAAGGGCATTCCACTCTAAAGCTATGTACTTGGAAGCTATTTTTAGGTTGGTTGTGACTCTTTTAGTGACAGAAGAGGGAGACAGCCTTGTCATTATTGCCAAATGCCACTAATGCCACCTTAACTTTGGAAGCTGAATTCATCATAATCAGCAAAACATATACTCTTCTCATTTGGGAAACATCGGAGTGGCAAATTCAAGCAGACAAATTTAGGGAGAACACTGAGATATAGATTTCACAATATCATTTGAACCCCAGGTCTAGTTTAGTGATGTCCAATAGAACCCTCTGAAATGATAAAAACGTTCTCTATTTGTGTTGTCCCCAATAGCCCACATGGAGCTACTGAGCACATAAATAAATGTGACTCATATGATGAAGAAACTATTTAATTTTAATTAATTTAAATGTATTAACCACATGTGGCTAGTGGCCACCACACTGGACACCATAAAAGATGGTATTTACTGAGTGGATATGGAATGGCTCCAGTACACCAAATTTGCTCTTCCACCTTCTACAGATCTCATTGCCCACCAGAAAGGACAGATAGAGAAGCAGCCACCATTTGAGATCTACTTATGCTTTGGGGAAGAATGGCCAGATGGGAAACCCCTGGAAAGGAAACTCATCTTGGTTCAGGTGAGGATATGAGGATGTGTCAACAACTCTTAGCCTTTTTACGAATGCGTCAGCCTCTAGGACTAGGGTTGTGCTGAGCAAAGATCCATCAGCCGATGTGCATTTTATTTTATTATTTTTTTAATTTTTATTTATTTATGATAGTCACAGAGAGAGAGAGAGGCAGAGACACAGGCAGAGGGAGAAGCAGGCTCCATGCACCGGAAGCCCGATGTGGGACTCGATCCCGGGTCTCCAGGATCGCGCCCCGGGCCAAAGGCAGGCGCCAAACCACTGCGCCACCCAGGGATCCCCCGATGTGCATTTTAATCCCACCAGATAGAGTAGCAGATTCAAGCTTTGTTTATTTTAAGAACCAAGTAGGTCCTATCAAAGTAGGATCAGGCTGGAGCACACAGGGTCCTCATAGTAGATGCTAGGTTTAGTGAAGAACTTATCTTGCATTCTCTTACTGACATTAGAGTCTTGCTGAAACCTAACAGGATAGGATCCTTTCCAGCTCTTTTAGAAAAACCTTTTGAGTTACTTTTAAGGATGTAACCTTATTTTAGTAAGTGGCAGCAAGACCACTTGGGTTTGGTCTATGGATTGTAAAAAAAAAAAAAAAGCTAAGTCAATAGATGAAATGTGGGTAAAAGTCTTACTAAATAAGCAGCTATTTATTTAGGCATGTGATGTGATGAAAGATATAGGGTCTTTGCCTTCATTTGAACCAAGGTCTAGAGTGAACCTTGGCAAGATGGTCCAGACAGATAAAGGCATACCCTGTTTCTAGACATAAGAGTTGGGGGCTTCCCCAGGGCCTCACTAACCCTTTCTATAATCTTGAGTCCCCTCTGCTCTTTAAAAATACCTTTTCTTCAGTGGATATCTGTGTGCTCTGTGTCCTGAACAGGTCATTCCAGTGGTAGCTCGGATGATCTACGAGATGTTTTCTGGTGATTTTACACGGTCCTTTGACAGTGGCAGTGTCCGCCTGCAGATCTCAACTCCAGACATCAAAGATAACATCGTTGCTCAACTGAAGCAGCTGTACCGCATCCTCCAAACCCAAGAAAGCTGGCAGCCCATGCAGCCCACCCCCAGCATGCAACTTCCCTCTGCTCTGCCAGCCCAGTAATCATGAATGCCATCTTTTTTTACAATATTGTACATATATTTTTTATTATTCAGATTTAACCAGCTTCAAAACCTCTTCTTTCTAACAATGTTAGTGGTCTCCAATTCTCCACATATCTGGCTTTTGAAGTTGATTTATTTATGGAAAAATCACCCTTCATATTCCCCCTTTCTTTTTTAAACCTCCCAATGTTAGTGTAAAATAGTAGAAGGAGATTTGGCCTGGGACTTCAGACACCAGCATTCTAGCTGCAGCTCTGCTTCAGTGGTGTGACCTTGAAACACCAAATCATTTAACCTCTAAGCTTCCGATTCATTATTGTAAAATGAAGGGGTTGGAACAATGCCTGAAATAATGCCAGTTAAAACTCTGACCTGATGACTTCATTCTACTTGTACAAGGCAAAACTGCCTGGAACAGAACCCTTCTGCATTGTTCTTGCACCACATTTTTTTCTTGCTTTCATTAAAGTTCCCTCAAGCGCTGATTTGTCCAACATTGATCTCCGTTTGACCTGTTCTGCTAGTATAGTAAGCTTGCTCCCTGACGGGGTGAGAGGGAGGAGAGCTGGCTGGTTGCTTAGGAACCAAGCTTGATATCTAAATAGAAATAGGTGCCAAAGTCTGAAAGTCACCTGGTCTGTGAAGGAAAAGCTCATAAACTGAGCAATCTGTCAACAGAAGGCCCAGGGATTCTGCAGAGTTGGTTGTCAGTTGTTTCCCTTGCCACCAAATAACACTGTGCATGTGGTAGATGAGAGTATGTAACTCAGTGGTACCTTTCAGAGAGGATAGAGCTCTTTCTTTTTCTTCCTTGAGGAAGACCTGGGAGTGAGCGAGGTATGCAGTACAAACTCCTCACTAAAAAAGGGATAATTCCTTCTTGTTTGGGAATTTTTCCAGTGTTACTATCATTTGGATTTTTTTTTTTTTTTTTTACAAGAGTGAATGCTTCTCCCTTCTTGTGGAGGTAGCTGGGTGTGAACTACTCAGGTGATGATTGGTTGTAGAACATTGCAGCTACAGCTGTCATAGACTGGTCTTATCTATTAGCTTTTGCTCAGTGTCTGACCTTTCTGCCCCATTCCCAACCTTAAAAAAAAGTAGAATTTAAACTCCAAGACCTAAATGGAAAACAAGATGTTAATCTCTAGTTGCAGGCCCCTAATCCTTTTGAATACTGATGCCGATCAGTGCCAGGCCGTTGTAAGAAAACCCATGTCTAGTGTGCTACCCTTGAACTGGGCCATCCGCTACTTGCTACTGAAATTGAATTAGCTGAACACTGAGGCTAGCTTCAAAAACCATAAGCTCGGGATCCCTGGGTGGCGCAGCGGTTTGGCGCCTGCCTTTGGCCCAGGGCGCGATCCTGGAGACCCAGGATCGAATCCCATATCGGGCTCCCGGTGCATGGAGCCTGCTTGTCCCTCTGCCTGTGTCTCTGCCTCTCTCTCTCTCTCTGTGACTATCATAAATAAATAAATTAAAAAAAAAGACTATTAAAAAAAAAACAAAAACCATAAGCTCAATTCAGTTACAGTTGACAATGGGACTTATTTAGAATGTGTAAGCTGTGGTTTTAGGGTCTCTACGGGACATAGTGGGATCTGCTGTTACTAAAATATGACCAGGAGAAATCTGGGTAAATGCCAGGTGCTCAGCTGGGGGCAGAAGTTGGGCTTGTAGAGACCAGGAAACATGCAAGATATAGAAACTTTATTTTTTTTTAAGATTTTATTTATTCATGAGAGACACACAGAGGCAGAGACACAGGCAGAGAGAGAAGCAGGATCCATGAAGGGAGCCCGATGTGGGACTTGATCCCAGGACTCCAGGATCATGCCCTGGGCAGAGGGCAGGTGCTCAACCTCTGAGCCACCCAGTCGTCCCAAAACTTCATATTCTTTGGTCATTTTGAGTAACGTGAAGGATTCATTTGGTATCTGCTCATTCTGTAACTGCACAGCTCAAAGTTAAAAAGAACTCACTGTAGGTAAGTTGGGAGGGCAACTGCTAGATCTGGGTAGTCTTTCTCCCTTATGATGGGAGAGGCTAATAGCCAGGCTCTCCTTCTTGATGGGGGCCCAGATAATTTGAGCTGGCAAAGTGTTGAAGATTGTATTCTTAAGGGCCAAGAAGGCTCACACGCTTGTAGTATGTGACTCTAATGAAAAGTTTACAAAGATCCAGAGGAATGGATGAGTGGTTTTATGTAGTCTTCATTAGAGAGCCCAGTTTCTTCCAATGTTTTTTTTTTTTTTCTTTTAATCATTTTCAGAATGCTGGGAGAGGAGCCCCTGGGTGGCTCTGTTGCTCTGTTGGTTAAGTGTTGGATTCTTGATTTTGGTTCAGGTCATGATCTCAGGGTCATGAGATTGAGCCCCACATCTGGCTTCATACTCAGTGGGGAGCTGCTTGAGATTCTCGGTCTCCCTCTTCCTCTGCCACCCCTTCTCCACACCGCTTGCACACTCCCTAATAATAAATAAATCTTAAACAACAACAACAAAAACCCAAAAAAACCCACAAAAAATGCTGGGAGTGTGCATGCTGGGCTGTCCACTGGTCTCCCTCAGTGTTCCTTCTCTGCTTCTCGTGGATAGATAGATACCAGGTGCGGTTTCTTCCTTGGAGTGTTATCTCCTTTGCTGGCTCTATCACACACACTCTTGGTGTGTTCTACTTCCTTGCCTCCACCTTGCTTAAGAGTGGAAAGGGATTTGGATGATGCCATTACCTCTTCTGTCTGTTCTCCGCCAACCTGGATTAGTTCAGAATGAAACCAGAACACTACGGATAAATTGGGAGGGCAAGTGCTGGACCTGGGCTTGTCCCTTTCCCCATATAATCAATTAGGCCTCTGTTTATATGTCCCCGTATCGTTCCTTTCTCAGAGTAATCAGTCCCCTTGCAAATGTTCAGCATCTGTGTCCTATTTGACCCCAAACTCCCTGAAGGTAGGGATGGTGTGCCTTGGACTTTGCGGCCAATGTCTGCTACATGCTCTTGTTCCCGACTAGAACTGATCCTTGACCACCACCACTTGGCACTGCCACAGGCTCACTTACGCTAAGTGTTTCTTGATAAACATGGTACAGTACGGCAGATGTATTTTCTTACGATTTTTTTTAACGTTTCCTCTTTCCCTACTGTTACCTATTGTAAAAGAATACAATATATAATGTTGCTATAACAAACATGTGTTGCCTGTTTATATTATTAGAAACGCTTCTGGTCAACAGTAGGGGATTAGTAAAGTTCGGGGGGGGGGGTGGTGGTGGTGGTGGTTAAAAGTCCTATTCAGAGTTTCTACTGTGGGGGGGGGTAGAGAAGGGGGGGGCACTCCCTACCACCTGCGGTTGTGCAAAGGTCAACTGTAATTGGTTCTTCGAATAAACGAATGAACTGAACGAAGTCTTTCATTTTATAGACTTACTGCTAGTGACCACGGGAAAATAAAATAAATATGGGGAGTGGGGGGGGGGGAGGCAAAAAAAAAAAAAAAGTCGTAGAATTCGTTTCTAGTCTGTGCTTCTGACTCCCTCTGAGGGAAGAGTGGGTGTTAGGCCGGGAGCTCCCTCCCTCCTTCGGGGCTGGTTCCACCTTCTGAGGAGGCACCGACGTGGAGCCGCGAGGGGCACCCCCAGCGGGGGAGCCCGCAGTTGCCTCTGCTCTGCCCACGGAGCAATAAATTCAATAAATTCAATAAATTCGGGCCATTTTCTCAGAGGGGCTTTCTCTGCCTCAGAGGTGTTAACCCTTAAGGGGAGTAACACCTGCTTCTTACTGACCTGACTGAAAGCCTCCGCCTCTCTCTGCCCGTTTCTCACGTGGAATCAGAAAACCGAATTCCTCGAACTTGAGCACCGTCAAAGTGCTGGTTTTTTTTTTATTTTTTTTTCTTTTTAAATCTATTCCGTACGTTGCGACACGGACACACACGATAAATGTGTTCCGAGTGGGTAATACTCGCGCCCTTCACACCTGCTCGGTTAGAGAGGCCGAGTCCTCTCAGATTGAGCGTTTAGGCGGTCGAAGCACACAACCAACTCACAGGTGAGGAGACTCCGCAAATCACGTGGCTTGTCCCGAGGGAGGCTTCGTTTGGGGCGGGGGGGGGGGACGTACGTCTTCCCGCACACAAGGGACGAGTCGTCGCGTTGCGCGCCCTTCTCCGGCTCCCGCGACGGAAGACACACGACGCCAGGCCGCGGCAGCCGGCCCGTCGCGCCAGGCCCCGCCTCCTTTCGTGCACTTCCGCCCGCCCCACCCCCGTTCCGACGCAGGCGGGCGGGGCCGGCCTCTGTCTGGCCGGAAGGGGCCGGGCCGCAGGCGCCCTCACTTCCGGCGCGGCCGGGCCGAAGGTCCTAACGCGAGGGGCGCGACAGCGCGCTGGATGACGTCGCGGGAAAGCGGCGGGAGCGTTTGTGCTGGGCATGCGCAGTAGGCCTGTTCCGCCGCGCGCCGCGAGCGGTTTCCGGTGTTGGCGGCGGAGCGTGCGGGCTTCCGCGTCTTGGCGGCGGCCCGCAGGGAACCGGAAGGCGCTTCCGAGCCCGCGAGCCGGCGGCGGAAGCGGAAGCAGGAAGTATGTGTGTGTGTGCGAGAGAGCGAGAGAGCGAGCGCTGGCCTTTTGCGGATCCTTACGATATGCTCGGGCCCGGGAACGGGGAATGGAGGGAGCCCGTCTGCCGAAGGGGCGTCGGCGTCCGCGTCGGCGGGAGCCCAGTCCGGGCCTCCTCCGGCTCTCCCGGTTACGTCCCGGGGTGCAGGGGTCGTGAATCTACCTTCTGGCGTCTGTTGATCGGGTCACCGGTGCAGCTGTCGGCGGGAAGGGAAGGAGGAAGCTGGCAGTGGAGAGAGGGCATTGGGAGCCCAGAACTCTGCCCTCCCGGAGGGGGGGGGTAGTTTTAGGTGAAATGCCTGGAATTTTGCAAAAGACAGCCCTGCCGCTACTCCCTAAAGTTTCAGTCCGAGAAAGGAATCTGCAACAGGTAGAAAAAGTTAGAAGAAACCAGAGAGAACGTGCATCTATCTACTCAAAAGACCCGAAAGACTCCTGAGTTAGGGACTGAGGGAGACTGAGTCAGCTGTAGGAACCAGGTTAGGGATCCCGCCTTGTCTGGTCTGGGTTAGCGTCTCAAGGCAGGAGGAGGGACAGAAAGATGTTTGGAGGATGCTCCGAAACGTAGGGGTAGGCTGTTGGCAGGTTTCCCGGTATGTCCCCGGCTGGTGTTAATAATCCCCTGCTACTGTTTTGTTTTTAGGCCCTTGCCTCAAGTGTCTGGAGCTCAGAGGTGCGGCCCAGGGGAGGGAACTGTGGCTAGGTAAGGAGGCCGTGCCTGATGTCACTTGCAGGTCCCGTGTCAGCACCAAGCCCTCAGAGGCTGGTGGCAGCTGCTCAGCAGACCCTGGGCATGGGGAAGAGACGGTGCCCACCCCCAGCCGTCTGCCTTCACCTAGCTGGAGAGGTGCTGGCTGTGGCCCGGGGACTGAAGCCAGCCCTGCTGTATGATTGCAGTTGCGCAGCGGCATCAGAGCTCCAGAGCTATCTGGAGGAGCTGCGGGCCCTGGGCTTCCCCACCCAGGGACTTCACATCCTGGAGATCGGAGAAGACAGCTTGATTGTCAGTCCCGAGCGTGTATGTCAGTCCTTGGAGCAGGTGCTGCTTGGTACCATAGCCTTTGTGGATGTTTCCAGCTCCCAGCCTCACCCGTCTATCTGCTCCCTGGACCAGCTTCAGCATATGAAGGCCCTGATGGCTGAGATCATCACGCATCTGCAAGGGCTGCCGAAGGACCTGTCCGTGGCAGTCTCCTGCAGCAGACTTCGTTCCTCAGACTGGAATCTCTGTACTGTGTTTGGGATCCTCCTGGGCTATCCTGTTCCGTATACCTTTCAACTGAACCAGGGAGATGACAACTGCTTAGCCCTGACCCCACTACGGGTGTTTGCTGCTCGGATCTCATGGCTGCGTGGTCATCCCCCAGTCTTGCTGTATTCCTTTAGTGTCCCAGAGAGCTCGTTCCCAGCCCTGAGAGAGACTCTAAATACTTGGGAGGAAGACCTTAGAACTCGATGTAGGGCTCAGAATGACTTTGCCGACCTGAGCATCTCCTCCGAGATAGTCACGCTCCCAGCAGTGGCCCTCTGACTTTAGCTTTTCTCTCACGTGGATGGTATTCAGGAAATGATCAGTTCTAGCTCAGGGATGACCTCTCAGGTACGAATTCTGAGCATCTTGAGAACAGTAGGGAAAAATGCTGTCATCAGTTGTGCACATTGCCATGGGCAGGGGGAGTAGGTGATGGTGGCCTTGGTCACACATTTTTGCCATTTCTATACTAGGAGTCCTCTTGACGTTGCTGAGATATCTGTTGATTTTTTTTTTTTTTTAATTGGATAGGCGATAGGAGAAAAGAGATTGTGGAGAAGGGTGGTGGAGGACAAGCAATATACTCGTGTGGTGGTTGTAAATATACCTGCCCTAGTGGATAGTGTCTGCCGGAAAGGGGAGGACTGGGTAGGTTTTAGTGCATGTTCATATACCACCAACTTAATTGGACTATGGAGACTAGACCAGGATGCTCAAATGTCTTATGTTTGTGGATATGACATGTCTTTCAGGGGTAAACTAAGAGTTCCAAGGAACAGAGACAATTAGGTGAAGTCTGTTTATTTTACAGTAGGTTAAAAAAAAATAATAGCAAAGTCAAAAATCTCAGGGAAACCCACACTTTAAAGTATGTAAACCTTCTGAGTTTTTCATTGTTTCTTGCTTCAGATTTTCACTCATGCAGCTGTCACAAGTGATTCAGATCATCAGGCTGTCCTTGTTGGCCAGGAGCACTGCCAGTGCTATAGCAATCATTATCATCAGCATCGAGAGCCATTGGCCATATTGCCTCTGTGAGGGGGTTGGGGGGGGGTGTTGGGGAGAGAGAAAGAGGCCATGGGTTGTTTAGAGAAGGTACAGGCAAAAATAATCTTCCTTCTTCTCATCCCTGCCCAGTGGAAAGTATTGGGTCAGTAGAGGAGAAAAAGCTGTTTACATCACTGTCCCTCTCACTTGGTCACTTCCTTTGGGATTAAATCACTTTACTGCTGGTCACTGGCTCCTAAGCCAGGATTACTGGCCCGGGGAATCAAACCCAGCAAAGGCCAGATACTTAAATATGATAATAATAATCAAGGATGGAAAATAATTCAGCAAAATTATATTATTCTCTGTTTGTATTCCTTAGTGCTTTCGCTGTCCTTACTCTTGCCACTAGCTCATAATAGGCTAAAAGAACACCACGTCATGTTTTAGCTAATAGTCTTCCCCTTCAGGTTCAACAGTTCCATGAAAATTAGGCTTAGATGCATGAGCCAGTGTTTACTGACACTTGCTATACTGTCAAGTATATAAACCAGGCTGAGTGGAACAGGCTGGCCAGATGTTGGCACAGGCTGATAAATTTTATCTGCAAGATTTGGCCAAAGGAGGAACCGTCCCACCATCATCCAGGACAATACGGGAGGATAGACTCTCTTACTCTGGGAGGCGGCTGTTGGCTCTGGTTCAGCTCTTCTCGACAATGCTGCAGCTTACGTAGGCAGGAGAGATACTCGTCACTGAGGTTGTCTAACTCCGAATGCAGTTCTCTGCACTGGGGGGAGAATACCACCAACGTCATCACCACCAGTTCCTCCTGGGACAGCTCAGATCAGGGAGAGGGCCCCATGTGAGTTACCCCTTCATTCATTTGGAATTTTTACTGTCATCCTCCCTTCCCAGCCTTTCTCAGAGATTTCAGTTTGCCTTTTGACTGTCTCACCTACTTTGTCTGGAATGTGTCCATTTAAATGATTATAACGCATATTATAATATGTATTGTACATGTCAGTGCTCTCATGATTGTGTATGTGTAAGTGCTTTGGAGATGGGGGCACCAAAAAATGACGATCTTCTAGCACAGAGGACCTGGGAGTGATCTTAGTAAAAGCATCTTTGCCAGGACCTAGTTGAGTTGCATATGAATACTTCTGGGGATATGTATGTTCCCCAGTATGTAGATGGAAAGGGCTTTGTTAATTAAAAGACACTATATATGTATATGTGTGTGTGTGTGTGTATATATATATAATAATTATATTTACATCAAAGACACTATATATATATATATGTATATATATATATATATATAGTTTTGAGATAACTCTAGGGCAAAGTTTGAGGAAATAATATGTTTATTAAATGTGTTTGAGTTTAGGTTGACTTTACAAAAGGTAACTAGTAAAACCCTGAATAACAGTTGGTGTAAATAAAGGAAGGAAAAGATTGACAAATTAGCCCATAAGTAAAGACATCTTATAAAGGCAAATGAATACCTACTGGCATCCAGTCACAATTTAAACTTTGAAATCTTTGCTCTCTGGCTGCCTCCCAGTAGTTTTCCTTACTATTGTGGGATGATCCCCTCACTATCTTGAGGTCACCGTCTCACCTCCTTTTCCTTGGCCTGGAGCTGCAAAGTCTTCTTTTGCAGCTGGTCTCTGAAATCCCATTCTTTCTCCTTCCCTGTACCCTCGGGTTCCACTTCATTATGGGAGGGCTTTGGACTCCACAGAGGCAAAGCCTGATCTAAAAAAGCAGCCAGATTCTCAGTGATAGTGAGGTCCACACCTCCGAGGGAGGGCCTTATCACTGAGAGAACCCTGGAGTGACGGGAAGGGAGGAGAGGAAGCAAGGGAGGACCTGTCCCTGACGAGACTGCACGGAGTAGAATTCTCTCACTTCCTCCCATTGGGACTTTGCTCAGTCTCGACACAGAGCTGGAATTTGAGCCCCTTGAGGTCAAGATTGGCATCTTTTCTTTGTATCCCTAGTCCTGTTTAATGGCATATATTTCTAGAGGATACTTACTAATCCAGTTTCTTTTGTAGTATTTCTGGTGGTAGGTTTGTTTGGTGCTTTGATATAACTAAGCCCTTTCCCTTCTGTCCTCATTTCAGTCATGAGAATGGCTGTCCTACCCTGGAATTCATCTTCATGGGGTGGCTTAAGTATGGCTTCTGAGCCACGTGGCAGTCTTAGTCTTGGTGAAGAGAGCAGTGAACTAGGAGTCAGAAATTGTGGATTGTGGTCTTAGCTGTGTCCTTAATTCTTATGACCGTAGACTTTCATTTTCTTATCCATACTATGTGAGTATAATAATTTCTGCCTTATCTTTTACATGGTGATTCTGATGAGAAAACAAAAGACCTCATGGAACGCATAAGTGAGGGTCTTCCTGTCTCCCCCCCCCCCCGCCCGTACATGATGAATTCTTCTCAGAGAGCTAAGGCAGAAGACTCTTGAGGGTTAAGAGTGAGGTAACCGTTGCATGCAACACAGTGTGGACTTGGAGTTGGATTTGATTCAGAAAGTCAAGTGTAAAAATTGACATTAAATCCTGAGTTCAAAATCAATTTATTGAAATGTTCAACACAGACATATGTTTTTGGAGAGAGTAGAAATTCTTTTCACAGTTTATATACTTCTCAGGATAGGAGGCTAACTGGTTAAAGTGTTCTCAAAGCCAATGATCAATCACCAAAAAGCTCCCCTAGATCCCTGCCCTAATAGACTCCTAGAACTGCATGGGACTCCAAGAGGTCATGTGGTCCGTCTCCTGCCTCTAGGTAGGCAAAGAAAGACCACTATCTTAGAATTTGTGGAAGTAAATTTGCTGACCTTTCTTTGTTAAGAGTTTCTCCTGTTCTTGAAGCTGTAAGGATTGATTCTGGAGCAGACCTGCAGGAAAACATAAGGAACTTTTCTATACTAGCATATCTACTGCAAACAGTGTCTTTTCAGAACTTTGCTTCGAAACTTAATTATTCAAAATGTTCTTGTCTGTTATTGGTTGAATAACCACTACCATTCATAGGAAATCCTAACCCCTAGTTCCTCAGAATGTGACCTCATTTGGAGATAGGTTCTTTACACAGGTAATCAAGTTTTTTAGGATATTAGAGTTGGCCCTGATTTCATATGACTGATGTCCTCCAAGAAGGGGAAATTTCAACACAGATGTGCATAGATAGAAGACAAGAAGAAATACAGGAAGAAGAAGGCCATCTGCAAGCCAAGGAGAGTGGCCTGGAACAGATTGTATCCTCAAAGCCCTCGGGAGGAATCAACCCTGCCAACACCTTGACCTTGAATTTGTAGCCTCCAGAGCAAAATAAATTTCTGTTAAGTGACCCAGTGTGTGGTATTTTGTTATAAATAAATCATCCTCATATCTCATCCTACTTTGTCTTTACCTTTAAGTCTCTGCTTAAATGTTACCTTAGAAGAAAGACTTCCCCAGATGACTTTGTATGAAATAACAACTGGTTTCCCTTTAACCTGCTTTATTTTTCTCCATAGTAGTTACTGCTACCTGACACGTACTTAGTTATTCACAGAAACTCTGTACTTTATTGTAGAGCTTATTCAGAATGTAAGCTTCCCTAGGGAAGCTGCTGCGTCAGCTTGCTCAGCACTGTATCCTCACCATGTATATCTAAAGTACCTGGCACTTGATAGGGGCTCAACAGATATGTACTGAATAAATAAATGCACGATTTTGACATGGCTCCTTGCCCATTCAGCTTCTGCCCTGTAGGTTCTTGGCATCTGCTGGTGGTTGCCTTACTTTTAATATTCATTATGTGAAATTTCTCTGTAGGGGTGTCTGAGGTTAAGGTGGTGGGCAGCCAGCAGAGATATTAATCAAATCAGGTTCTCTTTTCGGCAATTGCCTACTTCCTTTTTTCTACAAAAACTCCCTCTTTGGCTCCAAAAGGTAGTTTTGAGGCTTACATGGCATGAACTGATTTTCTGAACCATTCCTAAAGACAGAAGTCTATAGGACATATTCACATATGTAATGAACGACAATATATAAAATAACTGCCTTAGAAAACCTACCATTTTGTTTTTGTTTTTCTTTTTGAAATCTGAAAACCAGGGAAATTTGGGCGGATGTCATTGGCACAGAAAGAAGTTTAAAGGAAAACGGCAAATATTAACTTGCAAAGAGCTATGTACGTGACCTCACTTTCCAAGAAGGTCAGAAAATGCACAGAGGTAGGGGATATGTCAAAGACAGCCCCAAACCCCTCCACTGGATGCCTTTTGTGGGACAGGAGCCCCCAAGAACACCAGAGAGCCAGCCGTGCTACTTTGAGAATTTGGAAAGGGAACTTACCCTGCAGCTGCTGTATTTTGGCCATCAGGGTGAGTTTCTCCTCCTCTGACCTCTTCAGTTGATCTGAAAATGAAATAATGCAAACTGAAATAGACAAGCCCAAGACTTCATGAACCTGACACCTGAGAACGAGTTAGTAGGTGCCTCTGATGTCTGTGGCCTCTGATGTGTGTCAAGTGGAAGCTACTCTTCTACTTGTCACAGTTACTGGAGAGGTAAATGAGCTCTCGAGGACCTTGGATCTCATTGGCCTCAGCAACATCAGGTTGAATCAAGAGTTGTGTTTGCATAGGATTTGGTACCTGCCCCCGCCCTGTTGACACACAGGCTGTGATGGGATTCCTTCACGGTGCCTTGTGTTTCAACTGACCTTTCCCTTTCAAATTAGAAATGCAGCTTCGCCACGTGTGACTAAAGTGGGAATGCTGTGACCTGGTTCAGAGGGACTGGCTGGAAAAGCAGGCCGATACTACAAGATTCGCTAGTGCAGCACAATTAATTTTCAGTCCTGGATGATCAAAACAGCCCTGCCTTTCCCTCGAGGTAAAATGAAATCACAAACCCAACCTAAGCCTGAGGCCTTCTCCTCCACCTAGCTTCCTTTCTGGGGCTCTATCAGCCAGAGGCCTCTGAGGAGCCGGGTACCTTGTAGGTGTTGGGTATCTGAGCTGTCTCTGTCCCCCTGTAGAAGTTCAATCTTGGCCTGTAGTTCCTGGTGCTCATTCTCCAGAAGTTGCAGAGCCTGGTTCATCTGTAGGTCTCTACTGTCTGCTCCCTGTAAGGAGGAGGGCCCGACAGAAGCAGGTCAGTGCCAGGGCGGAGGTTGGGAACAGATCCCATAGAAGAGGAAAACTAGAATTTCATAGACTGGAGTATTAGGGAAATGGAAACTAGGATTTTTTTTTTCCTTCCTGCTGCTCTATTTCTCACATTTTAACAATGCATTAGACTTTTGGATGTTTCACAAGGAACTCGTTTGAGTTAATGCCCAAATTGAAAAATACCAAATCATCACTTTTTAGGTGTCTTCACATTGTCTTTTCATTCTAACACTGTTATTTTTCCCTCTCAGATAGGGTCATTTTTTTTTTTTCCTCAATAAGGTTAAAAAGAAAAAGACCTTTCTAAGAGATGTGGTTATTGTGCCCTGGTCAGCTGGGTTCGTTCCTTTGATAAGACTCCCATGCCCTGTCTTATTAATTTGGTTACTCAGGTTTCTGCTTCAATGAAATTATAAAGGTTAATTTTTGATGTGGGTTCTCAAAAATTTCAAACCAAGTAAGTAAAATCTATGAAGAAAAATAGCTAATATATGTGGAGGCTTGTATGTGCCGGGTATTGTGCTAAATACTTTGTATGGATTAACTTACTTAATCCTACAACAATCCTATGATATGGGTACTATTAGCCTCCTTTCGGAGATGGGGAAAGTGAGATTTAGATTAGTTAACTTTGACAAGGTAACACAGGTTGGAAATGATGGAACCCTGGAGAATGCCAGGGGTCTACTATAATTGCTTAAAATCACATTGGCAGGATGTTAGGTAATCCCCAGCCTATAAGTAAGCTAGTAATGCTTGTTCGGTGCCAGTAGTAGGCATTTCTGAGCTGGATGCTCTGCTGGGATGGGGTGCAGAGAGTAGGTTGGAGTATGACAGCAATCTGATGAATATTCTAGTCACATCCTTTGCATTTGGATGGTGTCATCCAGTGAACACTTAGTGCATTGGCATGAGCAGTGCAGACATCCTTGCTGAACTCACAATTAGATTTCAGAGCCCAAACAGTGAGTCGGGTACAAAGTGGGTAATGAGTGAGGAACTGAAAGAGTGAGGAACTAAAAACCAGATGCTCTCAGGCTTTTTTGGAACCCCTGTCCTAGTGGCAGCTTCTTTCCTTGCTCCTGTCACTGTCCCCAACCCAGGAGCCCTGCCTTCTCTCCCCAAGTCCCCACCCCACCCCGGGCCTGGTACCTGCAATTTAGACTGAAGCACATGGAGTTGGCTCTCCAGCTCTCGGTGCTGGGTCCCCAGGTTCCTCCAGTCCTCCTTCAGAGCTTCATACTGGCTCCTCCACTCTTCACACTTCTGCTCGGCCAGAGCCAGGGACCGCTGAGAGGGTGGTCAAGACAAGAGGAAGGTGCCTTGGGGGTTCCAGGGAGTTGTGCAGCTGCCTTCTATGCTGCCCAGAGCCACCCCGGGGTCCCAGGCCCAGCATCCCCACACCTGTGTGCTTTGCAATTGCTGCTCTGCACTCATTTTCTCCTCCAGCACTTTCTGCAGTGACTCCTTGGCCTTCTGCTCATAGCTGTTTTTCTGGTCTTCCATCTCCAATAACACCTTTTTCATTCCCCAAGGGGAGTATTTCTGTAAATTTGATCCAATCAACAAACATATTGAGCTTCTGTGTGCCAATCCCTGAGCTGGGATACAGAAAGGAAAAGAATTCGGTCCTTGCACCCCACCCCCCCGCCCTCCTGAGCAGAGATAGAAGTGATCTGTTGGATCTTCTTCCAGGCTCAAGGTGGGCAGGGAGAGGGTCCCAGGTGATGAGGAAGGTAAGCACGCATAACAAATAGTGCTCTAGGCATGTTGGGCATTCCCCCAGGCCTTCCAGAGGCACTTCAAATTCAGCATTTCCAAAGCAAAATCATCTTTCTCAACCTACTTTCTCCTGGGCTGCTGCTTCTCTCAGTGACTAGCATCATCACCCACTGTCTCCCAAGCCTGAGACCAGGGAGTCATCCTTCATTTCTCTTTCTCCCACTAATCAGTGGTTCATTGAGCATTGTCAAATCAACCTCTTTAACAGCTCCAATCTGTCTCTTCTCCAGACTTCCTGTCAGTTCAGACTCGGACAATATTGTATGGGTCAATTCAATATTTTCTCTATCTTCAAGCCTTGTAGCTAAAGGGTACTTTCTAAAATGTAAATCTAATCACATAACTCCCTGTTTAAATCTCTTAGTGACTAAGGAGCAGGTCCAAATTCCTTGGCATGGCTCCTCCTTATAAGCTCAGACTTTGATTCTATGCTACTTCCACCCAAGCTGAATTGCTTATAGATCCCCTAAGCATTAGGCTTTTTGGCCTTTGCCTTTGTCCATATAGCTTCTGCCTAGAGCATCCTCATCTACCCTTTTCACCTAGTTAACTTCTACTCATGCTCAAGATTCAGTCCAAAGATCACGTAAATTCTGATAAATCTTGACCAATCACTCCCATCCCTCAACTCGTTATGGATTAGGTAGTTTTTCTTAAGGTTCACATAGTGTCCCTTGTATGTCTCTATCTTTTCATTCTATTGACTCTCCATTGTCAATATTGTCCCTTAGTGTCCCTTAGGGGATTGTAAACTCCTTCAAGGTAGAGAGCATGCTTTAAAAAAATGTGTAGCTTCAGAGATCTGAACAATCCTCAGTACCCTTAATGTTTTAAAATTCATACATTTGCATTAAAAAATTGTCTTGGCTTAACTTAAGAAGTTAAGAGCAGCTTTGCAAATTCCCTTAGGGTCTTCCCCTCCCTATCCCTTTCATCTTGTTGCCTTGTGATTCTGGAGAAGGCAGGCAGCTTTTAATGTCAATTCGGTTATCCCACTGAATAAGCAGTAGTCCCGATGATGCAAATTTAGGGATCAATATGAAATAATTTCCATGTAACTTTGGAATCCTCTGAAAATTTGAATTTAAATATCAGTAGATCTTATGTTCTTAAAACTTTCATTAGAAGCCAGATCTAGGAGCTACTGGCTGAGGTCATACATGGGTATGTTCTAGTTAGTGGATTTACCCATACTGGCCAGCTTTACCCCTCACTGAAAATATATAGACTGGTATTTTGGATTATAAGTCAGTATTTTATGAGCACAGTTGGCATTATTTGGTTCATAAGAGTGACAAAGCAGGCCATACTGAAAAAATAAAAATTGTGGATCAGCAAACCTGTATATAAACTCTGTTCCCTCCTAAGACCAAAACCGTGCAGCTAGGTCCATCTTATCTCCCTAACTTCACATCACCTCATTCTCTTATCTGACACCTCGCCACTTACCAGAAATCCATCACTTCTCAAGTGTGAAAGCTGATTTCTTTCTATCTCTTGTAATCCAAGACCAGGCTAATGAGTTAACTGAAGATGGATAACAGTGCAATAGAAAACCCAAGAGTGGTAGCCTTTTACGTCTTCCCAGGGATTGCTACTAGACTAAAGTTGCCCATGGAATGGAAATCATTTTGTAAGACTTTATTATAATATCCAACTTATCTGTTCAGAGATTGGGACCTATGAAGGTCTATCTGGGCATTGTGAATCTTTACCTAGGGTCTCTCCCTACAGTTCCAGGTATTCCTAAGATTCCCCTGTAACTGGCACAGTACTGATGCTAGGGTTCCTTCTCAGGGTGCAAAGGGAAGAACACCAGGAAAAAGGGAGAAAAGGATGGGTTAGAGGCCAAAGTGAAAATGGCAAAGACAGAACTGAGTGAGTAGGTATGGGTGCTTTCATCTCTGTCAAGAAAGGGTCATTTCTAGAGAGTAGAATCAAGGTTCAAGCATTCTCCTTTAATTCTAGATTCCTGGGCTGAAAGTGTCCTCCCGAATGCTTACCTGGGTACAGGTGTACAGCTGGTTTTCTAAAGATCTCAGTTTGCCCTTCAATTTGTCTTCATTCAGCTGACCCTGGAGCAAATGGGATGAGTTAATGAGTTTGGGCCAAAATACAGCATGCAGACTTTTCTTCTGTTTTTCTAGCTTATTGCCTAGAACATGGTCAGTGTTCAAGCAATGTTTTTGGAACTGAACCCTTTCAGGAGGTAGAGAGGAAGAAAAATGGCAAAGGATCTTTTCCAGTTTCTCTGGAACAGGAGAAGGGAGAATCAGACTGTCCTCAGTTCCTCTCTGTACCTTGAGGTTCTCTAGCCAATGTTTCAGGATATCAGATTAGGAGTTCACTTGAAAGAAATCTTCTAAGCTCTCTTTCTTTCCTCATTACCTCTTTCCCGTGTCTAGGCACTTCTATATTCCTCATCTCCTTATAGCCTTGTACCTGGAGCTTTACTTCTAAAGTATAGGCTGGTAAGACTAAAGAAGTCTCTACATTCCCTTCCTTACCTCCTTTCATGGGCCGAATTGTGCTCTCCCTCCACTGCCTTCACCCCAAGTTTAGATGTTAACATCCTAACTCAGCACCTCAGAATGTGACTGTATTTGAAAATAGGGTCTTTAAAGGGATAATTAGGTTGAGGGGAGCCTGAGAGGCTCAGTCTGTTGACTATCTATTGATTTTGGCTCAGGTTATAATCTTGGGGTTGTGGGATCAAGCCCTGCTTCGGGCTCCCAGCTCAGTATGGAGTCAGCTTGAGATTCTCTCTCTCTCTCTCCCTGCCCCCCTGCCATGCTCTCTCTTTCCTTCTTTTATAAAAAAAAAATAATTAAGTTAAAATGAGGTCATTAGGGTGGGCCCTAATCCAATATGACTGGCGTGCTCATAAAAAGAGAACAGAACATCATGTGAAGACATAGGAGAAGGCAGCCATCTGCAAGCCAAGGAGAGAGGCCTCAGGAGAAACCAACCCTGTCAACACCTTGCTTTTAGACTTCTAGCTTCCAAAATTATGAGAAAATAAATTTCTGTTGGTTAAGCCACCCAGACTGTGGTATTTTGTTATAGCAGCCCTAACAAACTAGTATCTCCCCTCACTACCTCCCCTTTCCCTCAACACACACACACACACACACACACACACACACACACACACTGGACTCAATGAGAGTGGGGCGCCTGGGCGGCTCAGTTGGTTGAGTGGCTGGCTGCCTTTGGCTCAAGTCATGATCTTGGGGTCCTGCTTAGCCTGGGGTCTGCTTCTCCCTCTCCTTCTGCCCCTCCTCCTGCTCATGCTCTCTTGTGTGCACGTGCACACTCTCTCAAATAAATTAAAAATCTTTTAAAAAGAAAAAAAGTTGATAAATCCTTTTAAAAAGCAGGAAATGGAGGAGAGCTATCAAGGCAGGGTGTGTGTATTTGGGGAGTAGTCGTGGTGGTGAAGGGGCTTCCCAGAAAGCCACGTTCTGTGTATTCCCAAGCAGGGTGGGTTTGATGCCATCTTGGACATTCCAGGAAGGATGCTAACCTCAAGGGTGAGGGTGGAGAAGGGCAGGCTGGAAGAGGCTTATCTGTTTCTCAATTTTTCAGTATTTCAGCTGAGTAGCTAACTACCTCTTCGCTGCTCTGTACTTTCCTCCACCTGTAATTGTCTCCCTTTTTCCCAGGGCAGGGCTTTGTTCTTCCAGTCTGACAGAAGGTTGTATGTACGAGGGGGTTGGGGAGCGGGTGCCATCAATGAGAGCTGGTTTCCCAGAGGAAAGGCCATGGGTCTCTAGCAAGAACCGATTTTCATATCCTTTCTCTGGCTTTTCCAACCAAGCCCTGTGAGATGCTTGTGAGGTCTAGAAATGACATTTCTCTCCGTGCCTGAGATGCCATGTCCCCTCTCAGGCGGCTTGGGTGTTTGGAACCCTCATAATGCTTCTGGTCTACAGTGGCCTGGGTGCAGAGGAGAAGACTCTGTTTTGAGGTCTGTCCCCTTCAATTAGTTTCAGGGCACCTGGGGGAGGCAGGAAGTGGTATCTCAGCTCCTGTTTTGATCTTGTTTGGCTGATTCTTCTAAACCTTGGGAGCCAGAGGGCGCCCCCACCCTTTCTGCTTCCTGTATTACTCAGCTGGGCTTTGCAAAAGCAAAAAGCTTTGCCAAAAATAATTTTTCAAAGTGCCTCCTGCTATTAATGTTTTTCATAATGTCTCGTGTGAGAGCTGAGAGTCCAACTGGATTTGGCATCGCCAGTAACCACAGGGCTTTGGGACAGATAAAAGAGATGGACAAAGACTTCCATTGTTTTGGGCTTTGGACTAACTGGTAAAGGGCTGCCTTCCCCTGAATGGCGGGTTCACTGTCAATCCACGGATCCTGAACTCAACTTCTGCACCCCCATTTCCTGGTTCAGATCTCTACATTTTCCTTGTGCCTAAACTCCTTGCTACGGCACGGTGTAATCAAACCCACCGAGTTTAAGGTTTATCTGGCTGTGGTTTGAGAAGAAAGCAGGCCAGCCCAAAGCAATATCCTTATATTTTCCCCTGTCTCTTACCCTTTTTTTGGGTGATTCCTCACTCCTCCCTTACTATGGTCTTAATCCAGTATCTTGGCCCTCCCAACTATTTTTGTATTAGCCAGTACCCCAGATTACTTTTCCATTCACAATGCTACAGAAGACAGTTCAGGATAGCCCCTTCAGTGGGGATGAAGGACCACCCAAGTCTGGGGCTTAAAAAAAATCTCCTCCACAGCTCCACCTTCCCAGACTCCCTGAGGCAGGGAAGAAAGTTGTAGCCAAGTTGTTGCAAATGAGGCATGTAGTTTCCTGGTGTGAGCCCCAGCCCCCCACGCCCCCCTCTCCCGTCATGAAGCCCAGTGGTGCAGTATGTGGGAAGAAGCACTCTTTACAGGTCTACAGTGGACATTTTTTTTGGCAATCACCCTCCCGCCCCCTGCCTGGGAGCCCCAGGGCTCAGAGAGCAGAGTACCTCCCTCCCCCAGCTGGAAAAGGGAGCAAGGTGGAGGCTGTACACACCTGGTGCTGGTCTGAGGGCTTCAGCTCCTGCTTCTGCTTGGCTTTCCCCAGCCTCTGATCTGTTCTCCAGAAACACTACCACCTCACCGCAGAAGCACCAGCCCACAGCTCATCTCTGCTCTAGCAGAGGTTGCTTGGGGCTTGTAGCCAATCCCCCGCTGGGCTGTCATCTCAAAAATCTCATTTCCACTTTACAGAACTTAAAACCCAAGTGTGCCCTGCCTCGGTTTTTGAATTGCCCAACACTGAGAGCTTGCTTTCTCTTATTACCCGAATTGTTTCTGCTCTGGAGTCCCAGCAGGGCCCCAGGCCGCATCATATTATCTAATAGGCCCAGAGTCAGTTTTGAGGAGGAAGCAATGGAGGGACCTCATTCTTGGGGTTCTCACAGAGCTTGCGGTGAGCTTCCCTGCATGTGAAGTTGGAAACTCAAATCATGGGGGCCAAATGGAAAAAACAGAGGCCTGAACTGGGCTGAACGCCAGCCCCCGTTTTGGTCACATTCTTCTCAATTAGTTTTCCCTGGACCACAGTCTGGGGCTGTCCTTCCATGGAAGTTGAGGCTTCCATGGCAGGAGTAGAGGGTTGCTTTATTTTGTTTTGGGGGAAACAAGACCTCTTAACTGAAAAATCTGACTATTTCTGTTAAAAACAGGAAGCTGTGGGGGGGGGAGGGGGTTGGTGGAAAGGAGGAAGAAAAGAAGGGTGAGTATAGGGAGGGGTGGGAAGATGGGAGGGAGAAAACTGCAAGCAGAGGAACCGAGGCTCTCGTGCCCCTTGTGGCGTGAAACTGCCTCCAGAGGTGACCTTGGAAATGTCTCCCATTTCCGCCAAGCTTGTTATGACTCGCTTGGGATGTCAACACAGCTCTGGCCACTTCCCCACCCACCCAGAGCCAGGGTCCTTATTGTTGTCAGAGAACATTTCAAAGCACAGATCTGACCATTCATTTTCGACTTAGTTCCTCAGCGATTTCAGCGTGTATGCTGCCAAAGTGACCACAGCTCCACAGCTATTGACTGATCTCTTCGTGAGGATGGGCCAAACATTGCTAAGTGTGGGACTTTAAACCCCAATACAGAGTCCTCCCATTGCTACCCTGCTGATGGCCTGGAGCAGTGTTTCTCGAACTGGGGGTAGCATGTATTCTCCGGGATCTGTGATCCTTTCATTTAGGAAAGAGTCTCTACATTATTTTAAGGTTGAGATACCCTGTCCATCTGAAAAAGGTTAAGCTTCATAATTCCAGAGACCCATCTGAAGCCCTTTCTGGTCTTATCTTTGGAACTCCTCTGACATGATGCCGTCATTTCAGTCACACTCGGCTATACCCAATTGTTTGTGAGACAGAGGCCTATAAGCATTCTGATTCCTTTACCTTAAACAGCCTTTCCTTTCTGCTTTTTCTTCCCCATCATCATTCCTACTTCTGTAACCAGTAAACGACGCATCCTTCCTGACCCAACTCAAGTGGTCCCTTTCCTTTGAAGCCTACCCTGTTCCGCTTTGGGCAGAGTAATTATTTGCTTCTCTCTCCTCCGTGTCACGTTTTAGAAACCACTGTTACAGCTTCATCACACCGTACATCTCTCTCTTCCTGGCTGATATGTGAGCTCCTCAAGAGCAAGAACCCTACTTCTTTTTGTCCCTGTAGCACAGGGCTCAGCACATAGTTGCAACTTATCAGATGTCTGTTGAATAAATGAGTGAGATGATCTCAAATTAGTTCAGCACCGGAAACCACCTGGCATGCACAGCTGTCTGTCCCAGGCTCCTGCTCGGCTGATGAAAACGACTTCCTTGACAATCAGGAGCCCTGAACGTAGACACTAAATCCTGTACAATGCCACGTGAGGAAGGAGGACTGAGCTTAGGAAGTCTCTTTTATATCACCATTAACTTCTCAGTTTTGTTTTAAACCCTCCCAGCCCATCTCTCTGTCTAAATATGAGCCATCTATGCCGCAGGGTTAGATGTTCATGGAGGCCCGTGAGGGCATGCATTCTCTTTTGGACCAGGCACTTTATGCTCCAGTGGTGTAGCTCCCTGAACATCTAAGGGATCTCACTCTGGGGGTCTAAGGACCCCTGAGAGTCCCCGAGACCCTTTCACAGGTTCTATGAGGTCTTTTCTCTCCCAACTATGTATCTGTGTGAGGCTAGATTTTCCTCCATACGCTTCAACCAAAACAATGTATTACAGCAGATGGAAACACGAGAATCTTCTGTTCAGACTTTAAAAAGATTTGCCAAAGTGTAAAACAGTGTTACTCCTCTCATGATTTTTTTTGAAAAATAAACTTATTTTTCATAAAAGTATGTCATTTAGGTTCGCATGTAGTGGGTTTACTACTGTATTTTAAAATTTACACACATTTTAAGTTTCCTGTTTTCATTTCTAATAGGGGTAAATCCTGATGTGGTAAATACAAAACATTCTTTGGGGTTTTCAGTAAACCTTTTGAAGAGTATAAAGCAGTCTTCAGATTAAAGGGTTGGAGACCCATTGCTTTAGACTATATTATGCCTCTAGGTCTTTGTCTGTGCTGTATCCCCAGCCTAGAATATAGTTTCTGCTTCCACGTTAGTCTGAAAAATACTTCCATAACTATAAATATTTCCTTGGTGTTCCTCTTCTCTGGAGTCATTCCTTCCATCTTATATATACTATTATATACTGAAAACATTTCTCTTATTTCGTTTGTCATATCTCTACATTGTTTAGGCATCTGCCTCCCTGACAAAACCACAAGCTTTCTAAAAGCAGGAACTCTAACTAATTAATATCTCATGATTTCCAGTGCTCAGTACGGAGAACATGATCTATAAATATCTGTTGAATGAATGGACTAAAATAAGGAGGCCTGAGTTTTAGTTCCAATTCTGCCTCTAACTAGCAACGTGACTTTGGGCAAGTCACTTGACCTCTCTGACACTCAGTTTCCTTGTTGGTGAAATGGGAAAACTTAGACTACATGATCTTTCAGGTCCCTTCTCACTTTGACATTGATATCTAAGCTGAATAGTAGGTGCATGGTGGCTCAGAGTTAATATTGGTATGAATCCCATACAAAAAGAGTTGACATTCACCATAGTCAATAACGGCAAATGTACTGGGATCATCCTTCTTTTCTTCCAACAAATTGAAAAATGGCAATTCTTGCCTGTTTTGGTTCTGAGTCTTCCCTGGGTGTGGAGCAACATGAGCCCAGCTAATGATTTTGGATTTAGCTGAGCTCTTCCATATATTTACTGTGGCATGTTTGACCTTTAGATCTTAGCACCTCCTACCTCGCCTCTTCAGTAGTGAGAAAACCCCTTCTCTTGCTGGGGTGGTGTGTAAAGAAGAGTAAGAGCCCACAAGCTTTGTTCAAACAAAGATTTCATTCCCTTACCTTCCAAGAGCTGTCAGAGGCCCTTATCAGAGTGGACAGTAGGTCTTGGAGAATGACCATTTTTTGTTTTAGAACCAGCTCCCTCTGTAGGGCCTCCTGGGGGGCAAAAACGCAAGAAGGCATGATTAATCTGGATGAGGAGAGAGCAAGTGGGTGAAGGAGCTGAGGGGAGAGTTCACATGTTACTTACTTTGAGGTACTCAGAAAGCTGGATGATTTCCTAGAGAGAAAGAAAAAGGGTATTCAAGAAGACTCTAGGTCCCCTGAAATCCTCGAACATGCAACGAGAGCCGAGACTGGCTTGTGTCAAGTAACTTTTCTTCCTTGACTCAGACAGAGTCCCTCCAGGTCCTCCTGTCTGTGCTCATCCAGGAAGAAGGTGCCCCTCCATCCCAGCTGTGTTTACCATAGAATTCCAGTATGTCCGAGCTTAGAGGAGCTGAGATACCCTTTGAGTCAACCCCTTCAAAGCGAGGATTTTCTTACCTTATCTAGAACTGCAACTCCATAACTGGGAAGAGAAGAAATAAAAACAGAAATGACACTCAATCAAAGAAACAAGCACATCAGGAGATGGCGGGTGGATTCCTTCTCTGATCTCTTCTGAAGAGCCAATAGGGTGGGGAAGGCCTTCCTTTCTCTCAACTAAGGTGGATGTGGAAGTTTGCTGTGTTCCTTCTCCACATACTGGGTGAGGATTCAAGCAAAGCTTAGAAGAGAGGAGTGGATGGTATGGAAGGAAGCTGGGGGCAGGGACATGGAAGGTACTCACTTGGTCTGCTGACTGGCATCATTCTTAATTGCCGGCTGGGCTGCTTCTGCCTTTGTCTGCGTGCCTGAGGGATAGAGGATAAGGTGATTCAGAACCCATGGAGGAGGAAGTGGGAAGGCACAGGGACTCTCCACTGTGAGAGAGTTGAGCTGAGCCTGCTGCAGATTCTCTGCAGGCCCCAGTGAAGTGGGGGAGGCTCTGCTCTTACCACGGTGGTGTTTGGGTGGTTTTTTGGTGGGATAATCCTTCAGTGAAAGGTCCTCAGCCTGGGAGAGCTGGCTGGCCAAATCCCTCCAGGGGCCTGAGGGAGGGTGATGCTGGCTTGGAAAGACCTCAGAGCTGGTGCCTGACACCTGGAAAACAAGTAGGGGATGCTGAAAGCCTAGAGCCTCTTAGAGCATCATTCTTCAGCTGACCGCAGAAAAGTGAACCAGTGATCAAGTTTCAGGTCCAGAAAACCAAGGTAACCCATTCAAACCTTAAAAACTACAAAGTTGTCCCTGCTCCTGGCCTCCCTCAGCCATGGGAGGAATGGTCCTTCCCATGCCAGGCAAATGGGGAGCTGGGCTTATCTCTCCTTACTTTCTCTAGAACCCCTGACTCACCTTGTTTGGTTTCAGCCACCTATGCTGCCAGCATGGTGATGTGGAAAGAGAACTGGCCTGAGAGTGAAGGCATCTAGGGTCAGACCCTGCCTTTTCTACTAGGTCTCAGTCTCCTATCTGTGCAATGAGTCTGTGTGATGTAGATGATCTCTGAGGTCCCTTCCATGTTTGAGAGGTGGCTTCCTTCATCTCAGTCATGGCTGGAATACTGCTGAGGTTTTGTGAGAAGAGCCAGTAGAGCAGGAATGCGTAGGGAGGGGTATAGTAGTAGTTGTCACAATCTAGTCCGCTCTTTTTATATATTCTTCATGCAAACTCAAAAATTCTATGGTTGTAACAGAACACCAAAAGGCTAAGGGGTGCCTGTGGTATCCAATCATGCAGACCGACTCGAGCTCAGTAAAACTTCGATAACTGACAGGCTTAGGCAAAGTTCTTTAGTTAAATGTGTTTTTGTACTTTTTTCTCCTTAAAAAAAATATTTTTTAAACAAAAAGCATTCAGAAATCTTCTTGCCTTAGAAACCAACAAAACAGTTGGTTTTATTTTACAATCGGGCTCAAGGATCGTTTTTCTGAGCAGCACCTTCTATTACAGATAACAGATCCACTAATTAAGAAGCCCGACTGAACTTCTACTCTGAGTGCGGAACCAGGCCAGGCACTTCCAGGGAATACAGCGGACCCATCCCTGCTGTCAGCACACTCATAACATGGGTAGGAAGACACAGATGTTTTGCTGGCTTAGATCCTCTCAGCACACCCTGATTTTTGCCAGCACTGCTCCTTCCCAGGCCAGAACGATGGGTTCTCTAAGTATTATTACACAATCTTAGAGGATTTATAACCTCATAAGGACCACAGAGTGCAGAGGTGGCCTGGAGAAGCCAGGGAAAGTTTACTGGACCAGACAAGACCTTCGCTGCATGAATTTAGTACAAACGGAATGGTCCAAGTGACAGAGAAAAGGTAGGTGGGTACAATAGTCTCACAGAAGAGGAGAGGAGAGGGTGTGTGTGTGCATGCATGCGTGCATGCGTGCATGCGTGCGTGCGTGCGTGTGTGTGTGTGTGTGTGTGTGTTCCTGAGAGGAGGTATCAAGAAGATAGGCCTGTGTACCTGGCACACAGTAAGCACTCAGTAAATATTTGTCGAATGATGGATGAACAAATGCTCTAGAACATATGTATAGACTGCCTAAATTTGAACTGATAACTAAGAATTAGCAATGGGATTGCTTTTAAGTTTTTTTTTTCTTCCTTAAAAGGCCAGTGCAAAACAACAACAAAAAAGAGCTGAACAAACAAAAACCCAAACAACAAAAACCTCTGAATGAGTAAGTGGGTAAGGGAGATGCTCTATGACTGAGGAAGAAGGAGCTTAATTTAAATCACTTTTTGGTGAGTCTGAGCCCAATCATCTGCCTTAGTACCCCTGCCCTCATCCAGAGTAGCGTGTCCCTTGACATGACCCACCTGCTGCCGGGGAGAAGAGATCCTGTTGGCCCAAGACAAGGGTTCCTTGAGGTCAGTTGGCTGGCCTGGCCTCCTGGAGGGACCTCGCTCCTTGGCCCTGGGGCTCTGGGCCTTGCCTGTCTCCTCCACCTCCAGGTCCCTCCTCCTGAAGAACTCCCGTTGTCGTGCACTCTGGAGCTGCTCTCTCTGCTGGGTCCTCAGTGCCTTCCCCACCCGGCGGCAAGTGGTCACATTGGGGCGGCAACGGCGGCTCTCACGGGTTTCCTGCCGGCGTTCACACTTGGCCTCATAGCTCTCAGCCCCCCGGGCCAAGCCAGGGGAAGGCCTGGGGTCTGGGCTGATCATGATGACCTCCTGAGCACCTGTTGTGCTTGGCTTCCAGTTCCTGGAATAGCTGCCTGGGTCTGCCAAATGCCAAGAGGGAGGAGAAGGGGAGGGGTCAGGAGATGGGCAGAAAAATGACTATCTCCCTGGACCAGGGGGCAGAAATAGCACAACGTCCCGTACATGTGGCTTGAAAACTGAGGAGGTGATGGTGTTGAACTTGGAGCAGGACTCCTAGGTCCAGGCTCCATACTAATTTTTGCTTACCTCTGGCCTACGTTCCCCCTCTGCAAAGTGGGAAGATCTCTTTGCACTGCCACTTCTTCCTTGATCTCACCTTCCTTGATCTCACCCTGTTTCTAAGTCAGGGGAACCTGAGAAACGATTGATAAAAATTGTCAGGAGCATATAGCATTTTGGATGGCAGATAGGGATATGTTCATTTTCCAGAGACTTCTAGAGAACAGGTAAACTGGCTCTCTCTTCTCCAATCTAAAAGGAAGGCCAGCATCTTTCCTGCTCTCTTGACCCAAGCTGAAATAGCTGAGTGACTCTTTTCTCAAGGCCTGGAATAATAACCAGACCCCCCCCCCCAAACTGGGGCCAGTCCTGTGACTACCACCCACTGCTGTCTTCTTAGCCCTTAGCAACTAGCTTCTGAGCCCAGATCTGGACATGGTTTAGGAGGAAAAGCTCACACTAATTCCTCCGGTCATGGAGTCCTGACTTTGGTCCGTTGGTATCCACTCCTGTCCCAGGATTGGGATCTGACCCTCAGGAGCACATCAACTCAAACCAATATTGGCTGAGTACCTGCCATCTGTCCAGTGTTGACTGAAACCCATTTCACAGCTTCTAGCTCAATAACACTCCAAGCTAAAGGTTCCATGTTTTAGAATCTCCTCCCTGCTAGGGCTACGTATGCTGCTAGGTCTGCTCTCCTTAGCCCAAACACAGATCACACCATCAAAACCAGCAACCACATGAATGATACCTCAATAAGGCTATTATAAAGAAAAATGAAACAAATGAAAACAGTAACCACAAGTCCCCAGGGAACCAGGCGTGGTGTAGAAGCCATACTTGCTGCCTGTTTAGATAATCTTAGCTGCTATTCACATAACCCCCAACTCTAACTTCTTCTTCTTTCTCTGTGCCTTCTCCCTCTTTCCATTTCTCCCTCACCTACCTTCTGCAAATTTGTTTGGGGCTGGACGTGGCTGAGCCAGATCCTGAACACAGGAAATTCTGTGCCCTGTTTCCACTGACCACTGGAGCTAGCCCAGTGGAGGACGAAGGAAGAGGGACTCCCCCTTCCAGCTTCTGTTTCTCCTTTCTGTCCTACAATGTCACTACCCACTGCCTACAGAACCTCGTTCCTGGATAGGTCAGAAAGGGCATCACAGCTTCATTGACCAGCAAGTAATTGCCAGCTCTGGCCCCTTGAGTTTATTTATAGGCCAAACAGACTCAACAGGTAGCAGCCTTTTTGTCCTTTCATTGGAACTTTGCTGCCCATCTGGCTCAGTCCAGAATTCTCTGCAGGATTCCTGCTATCTCTCTGATCAGACCACTCATTCCCTAGGGTCATTTGTGGGTGGGGCAATCTTACTCCAGGAGAGGGGTCCTATAAGGTCAAGCCAGGCATGCTCTCAAAGAGGCTTAGCGGGGCATACTCTGGTATGGGGCAGTGCAGACCCCAGGCAGAACTGTGAGGCTGCAGGGTACTTGAGTGACTCAGTGGTTGAAAGTCTGCCTTTGGCTCAGGTCATGATGCCGGAGTCCTGGGATCGAGTCCTGCATCGGGTTCCCTGTAGGGAGCCTGCTTCTCCCCCTGCCTGTGTCTTTGACTCTCTCTGTGTGTCTCTCATGAATAATTAAATAAAATCTTAAAAAGAAAGAGAAAGAAGAAAGAAGAAAGAAAGAAAAGAAAGAAAGAAAGAAAGAAAGAAGGAAGGAAAGAAGGAAAAGAAGGAAAGAAAGAAAGAAAGAAAGAAAGAGAAACTGAAGTTGTGGATGCTTGTTCTCTACTCCCATCCCTGGGAGTAGATGATGCTCCCCCTTTCTTTAGGCTTTTGTCCTCATTCCTACTCTGTACGGTTCCGTGACTTCCCACCTGCCACTTCTGTTATTTAAAAACAGAAAAGGATGCAAAAGACTCATTCATATTGAGTTGTAAATGACTGAATGGAGGAGACTTGGGATTATGTACAGGTAAACCCCATGTCCAGAATCTGCCCTTATAGGAGCCTAAGCCGTAGCTCCTGGCTAATTCTACCTTAGATGGGGGAAGCGGAGAGAGCCCTCGCTCCTGGCTGTGTGGGTTCATATCCTGGCTCTGTCATCTACTACCTTTTTCTTTTAAATATCTCTAAGTCTTAGTTTTTTTTTCATTTATAAAACGAGACCCCAACCTCCCTTGTAAGGTTATAAGAATTAAAGAAGAAAACGCACATCAATCATCTGGCACATAACACACAATAAATGTCAGCTTTTTTACAATACTGAAGTAGGATTATTACTACCCCTGTCTTGCTGATCTTGGCTACCAAAGACTTGGTGCTGTTAAGCCCAAGGCCTTCAGCTGGACTAGCACCCCAAGATCAAGAATGCCTCATCTTTCTGTTCCCCACCCTTTTCTGTTTACTACACGGAGGGGATGTGGCCTCATGTGGATCGTATTTACTGCTTGGGTTCATCTGACCTCTGGGTGTGGGCTACAAGGACTTGTCCTTGAGCTGGACACAACTGCCATGTCAAATAGGCCTGGCAGAAAGGCAAAGAAGAGGTGGGGTGAAGAACCAGTGTCCAGCCTGTCTGCATCCCACCATTAAAACGTGGGCCCCAGGTAATCCTAGGGCTTTGTAGAGGGGGCAAAGCCTGTGATTATGGAGAATCCTCCTACCTTCCTGCCGTGAGGGGGAAAGCGCCGTGGGGGAGGAGACGGAGCCTGAGATGAGGTCTCCCCAGACTGCCTGGCCCTGGCCAGTGCACCAGTCTGCAGACACATGCGGTGGCTTTGCTCTGCTTCCTAAGGGGCAAACACTGGGACCTGTTGCCCAAGCGGGGACTTGCCGTCCAAAGGGCTCCTTACAGAAGGGAGCATTCGCGGACCCCCAGGGCCTGACACCCGGTAGGATTAGGTGCACACAGCTGAGTGGAATCACATCCAGCTTTCGGGGGTGTCTTGACTGTTCTGATTTGCTTCAACACAAGAAGCCATGTGGGATGGTTGACTGACAGGGATGGGCTGTAGAAGAAAAGGGAACTAGTCCCTGTGTGGTTCAAAGAAAGGTCACTGGGCCACTGCCCAGGCTTTCTGGCAGCTGGCAGCATGACAGGGCCCACTTGGAGCTTGGGGAGGAGGTGATCTTGGCTCAGGGCGTATTGCCTCAGGGAGAGGTCAGGGTGCTGCCCTCACCTGACAGTGGTTTGTCGCTGCCTTTCCAAGTCTGCTCCTACTTCCTGGCTGTGTGTGCAATGAATGTCTTCCTGTATAGGTCTGGCCGTCCTGGTGCAGAGCTCCCAGTGTGAGCCCGGGAGAGAAGGGCTGGCAGGCACCTGGGCCGTGGAAAGGCAGCTTATTGTTTTGGGGACTCCTGCTTTGAGGGGAACTATAAAAGAGCATTTAACTCATGCCCAGTACTGGGTAGCTGGGACGCTAAGTCATTTGACTCACTCCTAATACAATCTGAAGGACGGAGCAGAAGAGCGTTCGAAGATCTACCCCTGTGCCATGGCTAGTGCCTCCGGGAGCCAGCCAGGATGCCCTCCTGCTTACCCAACCCCAAACACTCTTAAACTAATCCATCTGCTTCCGTGTCTCCCCCTCTGAGCCTAGGGAAGCTTGGATGACTGAGCATCTTCCCCACCCCAGAGTCAGAGGTCCCCAATCTGGACACAAAAGCATCCTCCTTCTCAGTTACCTTGGGTCCCAGGCTCCAAACCAAGCAGCTCAGGAAAGCATTCCAGCTCCTGGGCAGATCTTGGCTCTGGTCTCAGATGGGGCAGGACAGCAGCTGAGTAAAGTGCAAGCTCTCAATCCATGGCTCTGGGCCCCCTTAGCATTTCCCTTCTTGGTACCGTCTTTCTTTTTGCACGGCGGCCTTGCTGAAACAGGAAACAGACAAAGCCACAGTGCTAGCTCACCCCAGTTCCTCTCTCTTGCTCTCGGGTACAATCTGAGTGGGCCCCCGAGCCCTTGAGGCCTCTGGGGCTGGGCACAGGAGCTCCTCCCATCTTTGGGCACCCACCAGCCACCCTTTCTCTGGCTACTGCATTGGTGTGAGCTCTCGGTTGCAAATCAAGATCCCTTTCTAAAAGTAGACAAGGATGGGACTCTGGGTCACATCCAAACCTTGCCGTTTCTATGGGGAGGCAAACAGCTTTTTGACATACAAGAGACGTTCCCAGCGTAGGTTTTCATGTATATCAGGTAGCTGTCTCTGTAAAGATTTTCTCTTTCCTCTGGTTGCCTCTTCTCAATCTCAAAGAGTTGTAAAGAGTTTCTGCTCTTCTGAAGTACCCGATGTCTTTTTCAGAATTCTGGAATGAGGCCAGCTCTGACTTTGCTCCTTTCTGAAGTAGTGCGGGGTAGGGGGGTGTGAAAAGGTGGTGGATGGGTGGTTGGGGAATGAAAGGAGCCATAGCAGCAGAATCTCATGAAAAGAATTTCCAATTGACTAGGAAATTTGGGGAAAAACTAGAAAGAACCGATCTCTGCGCATTAAAAAAAAAGCTGTTACAAATGATACTGTCAGGAAATGCATAAGAAGGTGGAGGGGAAATTGCATTAGGACAAGTTAACTAAATAGCTTTGTAACCATGTGCAATCAGCCTGGTCTGTATGGTCCACTCAATACAGCTTCTGTGAATCCTACGTCTTGGCACATGTGAAGGGTATGACGGGACTTTTAAACAGTTGTGATAACGTGTATTTATTGACCTGTGGGAAGTATGTCACAATCTTCTCCAGTGCCTACTCCTTCCCCCGTCCTTTGAGGAGGAAGAAGACAAGGAGTAGGCAAGGGAAAAGCACAGAGGATGGATTCTCAGGCATTAGAGCTGAAGGCAAACAACATTCCTTCAGGATGAGAGACAAGAGCTCAAGATCCTGGAGCCTGACATACGGAGGCGAGAATGAGCAGAGGATAGAGACGCTGGGGAGTCCAACAGAGCAGAATAAGAAATTTTTATTGGCACAGAAGAGAGAGAAGGTTCTGGTAGCTTAGGACACTGGAGTATAGAGATCATAACAGGAATTCCTATCGACCAACTTTTTGGACTCCATTAAAAATCAGAAAGGGGATGCCTCGGTGGCTCAGCGGTTGAGCGTCTGCCTTCAGCTCAAGGCCTGATGCTGGGGTCCTGGGATCGAGTCCCGCATGGGGCTCCCTGCAGGGAGCCTTCTTCTCTCTCTGCCTATGCCTCTCTCATGAATAAATAAATGAAAACTTAAAAAAAAAATCAGAAAGAGGAGGCCTGGATGGCTCAGTGAGTTAGGCAGCTGCCTTCAGTTTGGGTCCTGATCTCAGGGTCCTGGAATCGAGCCCCACATCAGGCTCCCTGCTGAGAGGGAGTCTGCTTCTCCCTCTCCCTCTGCCTCCTCTACCCTGGTTATGTGCTCTCTCTCATGTGCTCTGTCTCTCTCTCTTTCAAATAAATAAAATCTTTTAAAAAGAATCAGAAAGAAACGTGTATGAAGATCAAAATCCCTTTTAGGGCAACATAATGGGATACCACACCAATGATCTAGTGAAAGGTAAAATGATTGCTTTCGTCTTCAGCCAAGAATTCTGAGAGCCTAAACAACACTAACTGTACTCACTAACACTCTAATTCTGGAGATATTTGCTCCCTAGTAAAATTAGCTCATTTAATAGTGTTATCTTCTTTCTGAAACTGGCAATTTTCCTTCCTGGTTTAAACTGTCATTCCTTACCACAGCTTTGGTTAAACTGTCCCAAGTTATTTCACAGATGTCCTCACATTCCACACTGAAATGTCTTCCAGAGCCTTTCCTATATGTTTTTCATATTTCTATACTTACCTTTCTTACCTTTAAAAAAAATTTTTTTTTACATAAACTCTACACCCAGCATGGGGCTCAAACTCATGACCCTGAGGTCAAGAGTCGCGCACTCTGCCGACTGAGCCAGCCAGACACCCTTCCTTTCTGATCTATTTTATATTCAGAAAAATCTATTGTTCATAACAGAGAATATTTAAATTGATGTAGTAATATTGAACTAAAACTGATCTCACCAAAGCACTGACAGATTGCTGTCAGCCTACTGTGCAGAGAGCATTTTAGGAGCACTCTCTGAAGACTCTGAAGGCGAATTGATAGAGAGATGGGTCAAAAAACATTCAGATTTTCTTTTTTTCAGTTTGTAAAAATTCTAATATGATAACATTAGAATAACTTATTTATTTATTTATTTATTTATTTATTTATTTATTTATTTATTTATTTATTTATTTATTTTTAAAGTAGGTTCCACACTCAGCAGGGAGCCTGACATGGAGCTTGAACTCTTGAGATCAAGACTTGAGCTGAGATCAAGAGTCAAGGATGCTTAACCTACTGAGCCACCCAGGTGCCCCTTTTATAGCTTTTTTTTTTTTAATTACTCTCAAAGTAGAAAACAAACATCTTAATCTTACTCCCCAAACGCAAATTTCATCTTTTTCACATTTCCTCCTAGTTTTTGTCTATATATATACCTTTTTAAAAAAACGTATTTTAAGTGTAGTGAACCTATAATTATGCGTTTGTTTTTCCACTTGATACTATCTTTTTTTTTTCAGAGTTTTATTTTTTTTGGCATTTTTACCTTTTAGTGTCATCATATATTCCATAATGTTAAAGTACCACAATCTGTTTAATAATTTCCTTATTATTGAACAGTAGCCAGGTCAGGCTGACATTGCTCAGGATAATTATTAACCCCTGGTAAATACAATTTAATAGCCATAGAAAAATGAGCCTGAGTTATCATAATTTTCTGTAATTGCAATCATTAATTTAGAGCTGTGATAACTTTCGACCTTATAATAAGATTACTTTGTATATCACATCTGGCACCTGCTTTTTAGGGCCTGCTGCTCACTGGGAAGCATACTGCCCAAGTAGCAACCTGGGGCGGAAGATCAGCAGGACCTCTCAGAATAGGGCTGCCTGGATTGGTAGCCTGGGTTTACCATTTGCTTCCTGTTTCGGCTTAGTAGATTAACGTCTTTGCATCTCTGGTTCCTCCTCTGTAAGACGGCAATGATGATCATACCTACTTGATGTGATTAGTTTAGTATAACATTTAGGATGCGCTCAATAAACTCTAGCTGTCACTACTGTCATAGTAACATCTGCAATTTGGAGCATCTGCCCTTGTGACTTATCAGTGGTTATGACAAAACAGACTCTCGCTCAGACCTGCAGTTGTATGGAAATGAGGTAGTTCGGCTGCAACAGTGTGTTTTATCTGATACCATTTCATAAGTATATCCAGAGGCTAAAAAAAAAAAAACATTTAAAATCATCACTTTGAAAAACTAATAAACATAAGGAACTTCTCCATCCATGGAATGATGGGAAAAGTTAAAATATGTAAGTTTTTTTAAACAGATTTATTTATTCATGAGAGACACAGAATGAGAGAGAGAGAGAGAGAGAGAGAGAGAGAGAGAGAGAGAGAGGCAGAGACACAGGCAGAAGGAGAAGCAGACTCCCCGCAGGGAGCCTATGCAGGATGAGTCCTGATCCCAGGATCACACCTTGAGTGGAAGGCAGAGGCTCAAACGCTGAGTCACACAGGCATCCCAAATATGTAAGTTTTTAAACTCACCCAACTCAAGTCAACTGACAATGTTCTTTTACAAATATATATATATATCACACAATTGCATATGGAAGAAAAACATTTGATGTGCTTCACAGCGGTCCTTCAAATAAATGTCTTGTAGTCCATTTTATTTTATATCAGACCAAAGAAAATGTGTTCTGCAATAAATGGGAACACAATAGCACCTACCTCATAGGGCTGTCTTGAGGATTCAATGAGTTTATATTCATGCAATAGAATAGTGCCTGAACATAGTAAGTCCTATGTTTGTTAATAAAGTGAAGTAAAAAAACAAATCGTCCCCCATTGTAGGGAGTTTATTCTTAGATTCTGCATGATGTAATTAATTAGTTGATTCATATGGAGATTATATGGAGAGATTTATTTTTATTTATATGGAGATTTTAGTCATTTCTAATTTTTTAAAAATTTTATTTATTCATGAGAGACACACACACAGAGAAGCAGAGACATAGGCAGAGGGAGAAGCAGGCTCCATGCAGACAGTCTGATGTGGGACTCGATCCCAGGACTCCAGGATCATGCCCTGAGCTGAAGGAAGATGCTCAACTGCTGAGCCACCCAGGTGTCCCTCATTTCTAATTTTTTAAACAGATTTTATTTCCTTATTTATTTGACACACAGAGAGAAGTGGAGCACCGGTAGGGGGAGTGGCAGGCAGAGGGAGAGGGAGAAGCAGACTCCTTGCTGAGTAGGGAGCCGGACAAGGGACTTGATCCAAAGGAAGATGCCCAACTGACTGAGCCACCCAGGCACCCCTGTCATTTCTAATTTTTAACTTTTACAAATAATACTGCAAATGAGCATCTTCAGGCAGGCAGTTATGTGTTTTTTTTTTTGTCTTTTGAAATACTTCCTGTAGGATAAAATCCAGGAGTGGGTATGCTGGAGCAGTTTCAAGAGGAAGCAGTTTAGTTCTGATGAGGAAGTTCTGCAGGAAGTGGGCAGGAAGGAACAGAGCTAGGATGTGGGTCACTGCTGGAGATGGCAAGGTCCTGAGAACCGCTGAGAGGTGAGGGACTCTCCCAATGACTAAGGTGCTATTGCTTGTTTGTACACAGGCAAAGACAGGGTGGTGTGGGGAAAAGAATAATGGGCAGGAATCTGATGAAATGACTTTTAGATCCAGCTACACCTCTTCCTTGAAATGAAAAGTTGTTTTGTGGGGATCCCTGGGTGGCGCAGCGGTTTGGCGCCTGCCTTTGGCCCAGGGCGCG